TAGCTCATCTTAGGAGCCTGGAAGGGCAGGCAGAAGATTCCGATGTCATTCCTAAGTGTGGGAGGAATGTACTTAGCTTGATTGGTCCCGCATGGTTGGGCCTCTGAAATGCAACATGACCCTGTGGTACCCTGTGCCCCCAGGAAACCAACATGGTCAACATTCAACCGCATGTGAACTTAAGAGGATGGATTTCTCAATCTCCTTGACCTTCCCTGTGGCACCATGGCTTCTCAGGTGTATCCTGCGGATTCTTCAGGACCAGGTGAGGGACAACGATTTGGTGAGGGGCTCCCAGTGGCTACAGCATCTCGCACGCATACAGTCGTCAGTTTGTTTCCTGTGACCCACCATCATTAGCTTGCACTTCAGGTCGGCGTCGTTTGCTTCGGCCCAACTGTCCAAACTATTGTGGCACCAACACCGAAAGGGTATGGGTGCCTAGCGCGGTTGTGATGTTTTCATGCTGGTCACACCAGAGCCAGATAATGGCATGGCATGTGATAGTGTTAGTATGTATGAGCCGTTTGGGGTGGGTTGCCTTGAATCAGACGGTGATGAGGGATGTGTGGGTAGATCAGTGCGCAACTCGGGGCCATAATACACCCTACCCGCTGCTTGGATTGATCTCGACATGGGTCTTTCTGAAAGTAGGGTGTGCTCCCCAATTGTCCATTTCAATAGAAGAAATTTGAAGAAATATGGAAAAATCATGATTGACATTGATAAACTAATATTGACCAGCGGATTTTGGCGTAGCCTATTTTGAGACAAACCCAAATCCAAGCCATGACCGTTTGTTGAAACAACGCTCGTATGAGGGCTGGGGGCCAAATGCTCCAGACACGCGTTGCCAGCTTAACACCTTCAAACGCAGGAGGCGTGGATACTGAATGCAGTTCCCGGAGATAAATAGATGATTATGGTGATGATTAGTGTTTAACTAATTGCTTAGGTTAGATTTGAGAGATGTTTGAGTTGGAAAGGAAGCCTCTTGAAAGGATATCGGATATGAAAGGCTCAAAAATAGTCCCGGGCATAGTCCAGGACTTTGCAATGGCCATTGGCTTTGTAGGTTCTGCATGCTCCATAGATCTCCACAGCATCCCGTTGCCATAGGAACCTGCTTCTACGATGCTGTCCTGCCAGCTGAAATTAATTGTAGTGGCTTGGGGCGTTGCTGGCAAACACTCCATGGTGTTTCAACATGATAAATGAATTAAATTAATATAAAGAAATGAACATCAGAATTAAATGATTAAGCATATGTCTATGGAGGGAAGGTATTAATCAGTCTTCAAGGCCTGCAACGCAGTGGTACTTGGTCACTGGTTCTGTTCAGAATCATCAGGCACCCAAGACTGGAAGACTGTGGATTGGACATAGGACCCATTGGAATGGCCACGTGCCCATGGTTTGACACAACAGGTCTTGGAGTGTCTACGGACATTGAGCAAGTTTGGTGCTAAGAGTGTGTCAAGAGACGATAGGAATCGGGAAACCCATGATACCATCATGGTCCATATATTGTCCATATTATGTCATATTATACATATATATATATATACATCCACAACTGCCACTTTGATGTTCACCAGGGTAGCAGGCTTTCGACCATAGTTTTCCATGTTGAAGGCCATCGTTGCCTGGCCAACATATCCCGATTAATAATATGTTATTGAGATGCTTTTGTTGAGCATATTATGTATAGAACTATGTATGTGTATAGCATTCTATAGCATTAAGTATAGCATTGCATAGCAACACATGCACATATGTGATATGTATATATATATAATATATAATATATATATATAATATATAATAATATATATATATATATATATAGATAGTATACATACACCATCACACACCTATGCAGCTGCTGCAATCAAGCTCTGGGACGCTCCCAGATCGCCCAGGCCCAGCTTGGTTCCCAACGAGGCACTGGTTGACATTTCTTTCCACTATGGTGTGACTGGTGAGAATCACAGGTCATGAGGTAGACCCATGACATCAATAATGAACCTCTATTCGGGATGGTTTATTATTGGGAGTTACCACTTTAATCAAACTATCACCAGCGCAGAGGCGCGGAAACAGTTGTCAAAAGTTACGCCATATGACTCAGATCTTCTTGGAGCTGGCAATCTTGAAACCATGCTGGTGTCATGATGTTGGTCCAACACCCTGCACATATTCGGACATGTGTTTATGGGGAAGACGTATTTTATCTTGAATAGAAGTCCCATGTGGTTTCCGTTTGCATTGAATTGCTCCACATACTCTCCATCCAGCAGTCTCCCTTATTGCAGAAACATGCCGAAACTCTTATGCAAACCCTTGTCGTTGGCAAAAAGCAATTGAGCATCGTCAGAACCCCCCTTAATGCACTCTAAGAAGAGTTGGGTCGCGTAATGTCGCGTAAGCAAAACCCTGGGTTTCGTAAGGTGGCGTAAGCCACTATTTTGCAAAATACCATGCGTAAGCCCTGGCGTAAGCCCTGGCGCAAGCCCTGGCGTAAGCTGTTTCATGCCTCTGGCGTAAGCAGTTCCTATGCGCATTAAGTTGAACCCGTCATCCAAGCTTCGCGTAAGTCATTTTACGTACATGCCTGCCGCGTAAGTCAAAACTGCGGTCGCGTAAGCATGGCGTAAGGTCTAGCGTAAGCAATGTTATGCGACATAGGCTGGTAATCTCACGTTTTTGGAGAAGCTGTGCATTTGTATGGCCCCGGTCGCTGTTTGCAGAACCACTGCTGTAATCATAGCATCTTTGCTTGGACCAATGTTTTGGGTCAAAAAATCTGGACATACACACACATATCCCGGTCCCTGGTCCCGTAGCCCCCCCCACCCCCCCCAATGGTATGGTCCCCTACTCCCTGACCTAGAATCTTTCATTTCCATGGTATTCACAGCATTTTGGATGCAAAACCTCATGGAACATGTATATTATATATAATTATATATATGATTATATATATATGTATATATAATTATATATATATATATGTATGTATGTATGTGTATATATATAATTATACTATATACAATATGTATAGTACTGCTTGCGGCCATGGGCAAAGTTACACATGTTTGCAGATCCCAAACATTTTGCATCCGAACAGCGCAACGATCCAGGCGGCTCGGTGGTTGGTGTGCCTCACTGATGGTGATGACTTGGGCAGCAGTGCCCATCCCAGTATGGGATGATGGCCGGATGGATTAGTTGGTTGCTCGATGATTGGGATTCTTCGGAGTGTATATGTTCATATACTTAATTACATAAATATATATATATATATATCATAATATAATAAATATATATATATATAGATATATTATGTATTTATGCGTTTATGTATTATAGTAGTAGGGTTGGTTGCTGATTGGGAAGTGGACGGAGGTGATTTTCTCACGAAAAGTTAGACTAATGCGGCTGATGTGATATTCATTGAAATTCAGTACTGCAATGAACAGACTACAGACCGGCTGAGTCATTCTGATGGCAGCTTCCACCACCAAGAGAGGACCACTAAGGTTTTCTTTAGTTTTTTTAAGTCAAACTTGGGTTTACATCCAACTTCATCCAACAAGGGGTGGCAACTGTGGCAACCTTTGCTCTCAGCTTTTCACAGCACAGCTGCAGGGATTCCTTTGGACGCAGGTCGGCCAAATGCTCGTGGCCAGCTGGTGTCGCAAATGCTCGCAGGGTTCCAAGATGAAACAGTTTCTTTCTATGTCTTTCTGTTCTGTTGTTTGAGGTCCAGGAGAGCACAGTAATATCCAAATTTATATATATATATATTTGGTGCGAAGTCATCTGGAGATGTGGCAACAATGCTGGGTTGCTTCTCTGGAAGCAAAAGCACGTTGAGTCGTATCCTGCAATCATCCCATTTCATGCATTCTACAATGTCGAAGTGGTACGGAGTTGGCCATGAAACCGAGAAAGATTATGATCATGATCAGCAGGTCAATCTTACCAGCACAAGTGCCTGGATAATCAGAGTTATGGGTTCGATGGTTTGCTTCTGTTGTCAGTCTTGTCACCGAATCATCAACCCTTAGCACTGGAGCAGCCGGGAATGCCGGGCGGGGAATGAATCAACCACTTTTTACTTGTTGCATCCTTGGGATCTACTGCATATCCTTGTGCAACCCCCTCTTTCACACTTACCTATGTGATCCTATGTGTATATCCTTTCATTGTTCTATTGATTCTATTGTCTATCATGAGGATCTATCATTTTATCATTATCTATCATTGTCTATCATGATATATCATTATCCATTTGTCACTACCTCTGAGTATCTATCAGTATCAATTTCCCATATGTCACTATCTATGCCTATCTATGCCTATGTACTTGTATCATTGTTTGTCATTACCTATGGTTAACCATGATTATCTATTATTGAAGTTCCTTACCTATCATTAAGTATCATGTATATCATGTTCTAGCAGTATCTATAATATCATTACATATCATTATCTACTATCCATCACTACCCTCACTATCCTAGATCAGCTGAGATGAGCTCAGACAGATATGGATAGACGATGATAGACGCAGGCGCGCAGATGGATGGGGCATCTGTGTCCATTCTGTGTCCATTTTCCAGGCCGGATCCAGCCTGGCGTCTCTGAACATGGTCCAGCACTGAGGGGAAAGCGGATCACGGATCTCAGATGATGTCAGAATGCTTGGAGATGGCCATTGCCCAACCAACATGGTTGGACTATGTTGAACTGTTGAACTCACTAAATCTAGGGCTGCAACCAATTGTGGATAATGTATGATAATGTCACATGGAAGGTCTTGATAACTGGTGCGGTGGGCGGTAGTCTGCAAAAGCCTGCTGTATATTGGCATGAGGTAGAGCTCCCAAGGATGTTAGGATATGTTAGGCATCATTTTTGTCCATTTCTTTCTCCAGTTTCTTCCCATCCATATCATCCATCATTATTCCGCACAGACCCCAAGCAACCGCACTATGCGGCTCGAGGTGATGATCACAGTTGGCACTCTGAAGCAAGAGAATGTCCAAGTCGCTTGGGCCCAGCTTTGGAGTTTGAAATGTTGACATTTACACATCGCACATGTAGCAACTTGCTCTCATGTTTACTATGGTTTACTAATCAAGATGGAAGAATGCAAAATAGATCAAAATATATCAAAATAGAACACTTTTGCTGAAAGATGATCAGTGCCTTGGGCCACACCCGAATTTGACAGAAAACGGTCAAGTGAAGACAGCCAGCACTGTAGGCTCCCCCAAAATATTGGCCCTGATGCGCCCGCCCGAGTCGATGAAACAGTGCAATGATTGCCTCGAGGTGATACAGTCATGGGTCCGACAAGTTTCAGCACAAGGAGGCCATGGCAATGCACCGCGGGCTAATGTGGCAGAGAAACTCCATTGTTGACTCCGCTGATGTCAGTCGGCAATGCAACTCTCAAGAACACATGACCACCTTGTGTTTAGATTACTGTAGATCTTTGGTAGTACAGTATGTGTGCGCAACTTCGGTTTATATATGTTGTTCCACCTTTATATGCACTCTTGTATAAAATGTTTCGTTCACATATTGTAGACAGCATGGGCACCACGTCCACAGGAAAGGGTGTTCATCTTGGAGACAAGGACGCCACTGGTATCGCGAAGGCGTTGCGCCGGGCTGTTTGATGGCGTTGTGTTTCCAGAGACAACTCTACGGGCTCCTAGCTGCATTTTCTTCACCTAAAGCTGGGTAAAGTGGCATTAAAGTGGCATTAAAGTGGCATTAAAGTGGCTCTTTGTTCAGGACAGTATGACGCTGCATTACCAGAGTCAAGGAGCATACATGATTCAATGAATTCAACTTTTGGAGTCGTGACCCATCATGATGCACGGCTAAGTGCATTCCCCGTGGTTCCTTTTTCACCAGGCCTTTGAAGTGGTGGCAGAATTCCTTGCGGCAGAAGTTGGTGGGAAACACAGCCCCCGCACATCATGCACTGCTCGAGATTTGAACTGCAAAGCGTTGCCTTTTTTTTGATTACAGTATATCAAGCATATGAAATAGCATAGGACTATGTAGCACTGCGAATAATGTAGAACATTTGAGCCGCGGGTCTGGCACAGACAGAACTGAAATGAATTTGATAGAAAGAGTTTCCAATAGTTTCCATACTAATCGTGCGGTTTCGGATCTTCATCTCCGCCAAATGGTTTTGCAGTGGGTTTCTCCTAAGGTGGAGCCACGGAATGCTGAGAGCGGATCAAATCCATACGCAGGGGCAAGCTCAAAACTCGCAATTCACAAGGGAACAGTTGGAAGCTGGTTGCCTGAAATATGATGAAACTGTTGGATTTCCACACGAACTAAGGAAATCTAATAATATCTGATAATATCCAATATCATGTATTTTGTTCCTTCTGCACTTTCCAAATCCTGTTGACTGGTGTGCTGTGACCCTGCCCCCGTGGCTCCGACATATTTTTTCAATTTGGCATTTGCACACGTCTTGTGTGGTGCCGCTTGCTGAACAGTTCAGCCAAAGTAATGTCCAAGCATGGGACAAAAGATGACAAATGTAGATGTCCTGAAAGAGGCCTGAACCTATTTTTCCGGTGCACTTGATAGTCGCGCTGAGCGATGGTTCCTATTTTCGTTGATCTTCCTATTTGTGCTACCTAAGCTCAGAGGGAGAAATTCACGGCGCAGTGCTGTGTGCCTGCCAGCCTGCGACAAGAAAACTTTAAAAGCAATTGATTGAGGAAAGAAAACAGGGCAACAATATATGGAAAAACAACAGACTTCCATTGGCCTTGGCATTCCAGTATTCTTCTGTAGATGGTCATGACATGTCATGACATTGGGTGTTCACGCTGATATCGATACCCAGAGTTGCACGGCAAAACTCGAATGGTAGGGGTTAGTTCTTGGTCAGTTGCCATCACAAAAGTCTTGACTTGTCTGTAGTTGCTCAATTGCGTTTTTTTGCAATGGATCAATGGCCAGGTGAAATCTTCTGTCAGTGAACTGGGGTATGGGAAACCTCCACAGAGTCCGTTCCATTGGAATTTGACCATACTTTGACCCAGAGCTTCGCAGGACGGTTGTGCCCACGCTTTTAAGAGCCGCTGTCTCACCTCCGCTTGGCTGTTTCCTCATCCATAAGGGTCAACTGAGCCAAGTGATTCCACCGAACCAGGTGGACATGGAGGAAGTGCAGTGGACACGGGCGCCACAACATGCCACAACCATTTAGATCATGTGGGCGTGGGCTTCACATTTGGCGGAGGCACATAGGCTTGTGTTAGTGGTGCAACTTGAAATCAGTGCCAGGTTTGAACGGCGCCAATTGATTTGTTGTTCTCAGCTCGCGCCTCTCATGCAAATTTCATCGTTGCAGGGTGTGCGATCACTGGCGAGAAAAGGCTCTTCCGCGACATTCCATGACCCCAGGAACCAGCAAGCATGCGGCCTGCAAAAGTAGCAACCCGGAAACTTTATACTATGTTTCTACATTTTGGTTATGAAACCATGTTGATGTGGGCCCCTCATTTACCACATTCATGTCTGCTGGGAGGGTCATGTTCCAAACGTATCTCTAAGGTCCATGTTCAAGCTGAGGCGTGTATGTCCTCCGTGGATTCTATCCCCAAGTGTTGGTCGGAAATCAATATCCCAAAAGAATTTTCAATGAAGCTTCAGCACAAGTCTTGCCAAACGCTTTCAAATGCAAGCTGTGCCAAACAAACGCCCAAGTATGTTCAGCCAGATGAAGGAAATCACGCATTCCTTTATCTTCAGGTTTTGCAATGCCCCAGCCTATAGTTGTCCAAAGGTCGACAAAAGCACACAAAAACTATGAAGATTATTGTGTATTTTTCAAATTTATGTTAAGAGAACAACGCAATTTTCAATCATATCATATGATCATATGATCCATAATTTTGATGCAATCTCCGTGAAGATCGGCTTGGAAAGGTTCAGGAGTTGACAAACAGGTCCTTATTTTGCCACGGATCAAGCTCTGTAGGACCTTTTGAGTGCCCTCCACTCGCATGTCTCCTCAACACCCCACGTACAGGTTCTGTTTGGTTGAGCGTAGCACCATTCACTTTTGCCAGAAGGATTTTGTTACTGACATACGAGAAGTTTACCTGAGCCCACGTTCGCATTTCCAACTTTGAAGTTTGGCGCATGAAATCTACAGAGCTAGCAAGTTGGGAGCGAGCATAGATCAACACAGAGATTTTATCAGAAGCAATCCGAAAAAGGCACATGTTCTTGGCTGCCAGTGGCTATTGAGCCAAGTTATCCACAGAAGAGAAACAGAGAAACAGATGTCTAGCTCAGAGATGGTTGGGTCATCCCTGGATTCACATTGAGCTGAAGCTGCTGGGTTTTGAGGCCGAGATTTGGTAGAAGCTGCAGCTGCCGAACCACACAATGGTTTCAAGATGTACAGCGTACAAGGTCTACACACGCCACCCCATGCCACCCCCATAAACGGTGACATATACAATTTATACAATATTTGCATGTGATGAAATTGGTGTATATGCATAATCATGCATACATAAACAGTGCAACTCATGAACACATACCTCCAATATCTTACAATAATGCAGATGGGACATAATATCAGGCAATATATAATATAAAATTCATATAATATAATATATCTAATTAAATTGATTTGCATTTCTTAATGCGGGTTGCTGAAGCTCCACAGGTTCGGATGGCCTTTGACCGTGGCTATGTGGCACGTCAAGAGATCCAGCGACCTGGCAGTGATCAACATGGAACTGGAACTGTTTTCAGGGGATCAACAAATTGCATCAACAGATAGGAACCAACCAAGAATCAAATAGGGATCTATATGGATTATATGGATCTATGATGATCTATTCATTTTTTTGATCTAGGTCAGCAACAATGTGGTAATGTGGGGATGTTCCCCCACAACATTGAGGTACAATTGGATGCATATTAGCCAACATCAAGAATTGGGGTTCTTACCAAACAGCTATTCGGGGACAATTATTTTCCCATAACAATTAGGGGGATATCAACCTCAGCTAAAAAGCCTGTGATTGACCAGCAACTCTCGGGATATGAACTAGCAACAATTTTGGGTATGTTGGGAAGGAATGCTGATTGCCATAAGAAATTATGATCCTCTCTCTCCCTCTCTCTCAAAGACAAGTGTTGAACCAAACATTACATGACCTATTGGTAATCAAGCATAGCAATGGAGAATCTCCCATTTATAGATGTTTTTTTTTTTCAAGTAAACCCACATTTTTAGATGCCCAATTGTCATATTTGACTACCAGAGGGTAAGACTGAAATAATGATGGCCTGCCCCTTTTATGGTAGGACCATTCGCAACTCACGTGACGCCCAGGTGACTTCAAGTAACCTTCCATTCTTTTTGCTTCATGTCTCCCAGTGGTTTATATCAAGGAATCCAGACCCACACTAGTCGTTTATTCAGATTATAAAGTCGATATTAGAAGTACACGCATACATACAATATACCCACATATATATATATAATTATATATTACATAGAAACACACACACACACAGATATATATATATATATACACATAGAGATAGACAGGCGGACAGACAGGCAGGCAGACAGACAGACAGACAGATAGATATGTATGCAAAGTATTATATAAAAGTATATCTCTCTTGTAAACATGTGTGCATACCGTGGCTGAAAACCCATCGCAGGGCGGAGAGCGTCCTCGGAGGCGACCTCTATGACTTCCTGGATGAGAAGCCGCCAGAGAAGCCCAAGGGCTTGGCCCGAGCCAAGTCGCTACCACCAGGCGCCAGGTCCAGGTCTGACTTGAGGAGAAAGTCCCAAGGCTTTGATGTGCTTTGATGCTTTTTGTTTTGTTTTTTGACATGGTCAACATTTATCAACATTTATATGTTTTTTGATTCTTGATGGACACATCTGGGATGATGATCTGGTTCCAGGCCTTTTGATTTCAAAAGACCTCGGATTTTGATGGATCTGGTTTCAAATGAAAAAAAATGTTGTGAATGTGAAAGACCCTGGATTTCGATGGTTTTTTTTGATGGGTTTTGCCATGGTCAAAATTTGGGTAGTTTGCAACATTTTGCAACGATTGGGGAAGTTACATTACATCAGATTTTGGGGGGATGTAAGCAGCAAAAGTGGATGTAACCAACAAAAACGGTGAATTTAAGCGACAAAAAGAGGATGGGTCGAGAACAAAAAGAGCTTCCACATGGGGTCGGGGGGATGCGCGTCCGTAACCAGCTGCTGTGGTGGAAATTTGGGCTGGGATGATGGGAATTAGTCCCACCTGATAAAACGGCCCCCTAGATTCGATCCCGAAGGAACTCATCCGAAGCAAATTGAATACGACATAGTTATGAATTGTTTGTTCCCGGGGACAGTAGAGGAAACTTACGGAAAATTAGTACATGCTATGAGCTGAGGACACCATCAATAGTCAAACATGTAGATGTAACCTGTGCAGTAACTAGCATGATTTGACGCAATGTAACCAACAGTTACGATAATAATCTAAATTTAATTTTCTAACTAACGTTTCAAATATATTCAAAGATTGTATATTGTGTGCCATGAGAGGTTTAAAATGTTGGTAACGGATGCATCACCGTTTCTATCGCAGGTGCTCGCAATCTGCGCTCCAATCGCTTGGAGGATCGGCCTCCGGCCCCGTTGGGCACCGATGCTGATACCTTGGAAGGCCCAGCTATGGCCGCATTGCAGGGAGACCTCTGTGTTTTGTGGATTGGTATTTGACGTTTTGGTGAAATTTGACCGGATAGGAAATGATGGAAATGGATGTGACCTTGGAATCCAGAATTATTGAAGAGGTTGTAAATCTGATTGGATGAATTACCTGCTTGTGAGTTACACTGGTGTTTTGTTACATGTGATGTTTGATGTGGGTTTCAGAAAAAAAGGCACTTCAGATTGGGCAGGGGTAGCTAAGGACCCAAGGAAAGTGCCGAGTTCATCCCTAGTGACGAAACATGACCAACATATGTGCTAATTATGTGCTCCCCGTTCTACCAAACACTGCCAAACACTTAAGCCATTTTAAGCCGATGTCAATCCATTTTATCCCTATCCGCTGCCAGAACTGCATCTCTACTCTTATTTCTCGTGATCCTGTGGCAATCCTGCCCATACATTGAGCTATCGTGCATACATGATATACATGTGTGTACTGTATACATGCATGTATTGTAGTCCATTGTAGTATATTAAAATATAGTATAATATACAGTAGTAGCCGTTCATATATGTAGAATTTCTACGCGCAAACACCCCGATTCGCCCACACTTCTTCTATGCTGTACACTTGGGGATATCAAACGTTAGACTTTACATTCAATTGGAAAGATCAACAAGGGTATTTAGGGAATATAAATTTCCCACCCCCGTTAAACTTCTACATTCATTGAAGATCTTCAATAAGGTTTAATTCTCCCACCCCCGTTAAACTTTACATTCATTGAAGATCTTCAATAAGGGTTTAATTCTCCCACCCCCGTTAAACTTCTACATTCATTGAAGATGTTCAATAAGGGTTTAATTCTCCCACCCCCGTCAAACTCTTCCATTCATTGAAGATCTTCAATAAGGGTTTATTTCTCCCACCCCCGTTAAACTTCTACATTCATTGAAGATCTTCAATAAGGGTTTAATTCTCCCACCCCCGTTAAACTTCTACATTCATTGAAGATCTTCAATAAGGGTTTGATGATGAAGATGAAGATGAAGATGAAGATGATGACGATGATGATGATGATAATGATGATGATGATGATGATTATGATTATGATTATGATGATGTGGATGTGTAAGAGACCCGCACAGGTCCCTATGCTGTGCGTGCCGATATACAACATGAAGTTAGCCATGATGCAAAAAAAAACTCACAGTTTTACTACGTTTTCAGCACATACGAAGATGGCCGCCGACAAGCGCGGGCAAATCGAGGTGTTTGCCCGAAATTCTAATATGCATGGTTTTACATTTTCATAGGCATGGACAACTTCACATATATGGAAATATGTTATAATATGTTAATATTATTTAATATTCATATCTCATTATAGGTACATAAATACATAGATATACAGATATATCGGCATATAATGGCATACAGATAGAGATAGAATTGTATGCCTGTGCATGTTGCATGTTTATTCCTGCAAGTACCTGAACTAGTTCCTCCTATAAAAAAAAAAACAGCTGACTCAGGGCCATTGATCCAACCACCTTTGGTCGATCTTTACGCCTTGGCCTTGGTTGCCGCGGATTTGGTGTTGCCCGTTGGGACGGGATTTCGCAACGGGTTCCACCAGGCGATGTTCACTGGCCCGGCAGGTTGTTTCGCCTGACAATCACAAACAGCACAAAATATACATGGGTTTCAATGTGTTTCATGGTAGTTACTCGGTTATTTGATAGTATTATATCATAGTTCTAGTATTGTGCAATATTGTGCATATTTTATACATGCATATATGCTTAGTTTACACAAATAGGCACCTATCCCCACTAGGTTGTTTCTTTCAAGTAAGTCCGTTTGTTGGCCCGAGCTGGCACCACATCTCACATCGCCATGGCATGGACGGAGCTGCTTGGGTCCTGGAGTTCAATTGGTGCAATTCTCCTGGTGCCCCACCTGCAACTCATGCGTTTTGCAAACAAAGGGTTCGATTTTCTACGAAAGTTTAACATGCATTGATGCACAAGTGGTTTGAAATGCTAGGAATGGTTAGAACATTGTGCTTAGCAGATGCTTCTGTTATTGTCCTCAAAGCTTTTGTTCCGTCTAATTAGTCTTGATTGATGACCTGATGGATGTGACTGCTGTGCACACCATGGAGTGCAGGCCGTTGCTTTGCTCCTTGTAGTGGAAATTTCTCGCAGGAAGAAGAGGAAGCTGAAACTTGGCACAAGCAATGTTTTTACTAATCAGCTAAATCAGTAAAATCATTGGCAACCATACAATCTGAAAGTGCTGGGCGCCAAAGCTCTACACAAACATATATATGTATATATATAGATGTATAAATATTATATATATATAATATATATATATATATTATATGCACAGGATGTTCCAGCTATTGACGTGGAAGTGATATCTTATGCCGATGTAAAACGCAAACGTGCCCTGGATGGTTAGTAACCAACTCAATGGCATCTCTTGTGGCCCCGTACCTAGCACAACTTAAGTCCACTTGAGACAGTAAAAAACATATTGATTAGTTAGTATGGTGGATTGTACTTCCTAGTTTATTGTGCATCGAGATACAATATGTCCATTCACTTCCCTCCAGCTCGACCACGGCATCAAAGAGGACACGTGCAGGGCAGGACCCTTCTTAGAATATTCGCTAGCATGGAAACATGGGGTGCCACGGTGCCAAGAGAATCTGCAGCTCAGATTCTACCCAGGGTCCAGATCCCCGTCACCCCAGCTGATGGTTATGATCATCTTCGCCTAGCTGTTCCACCCCGGTGCGGCTTGCGCGTGGTGTGCATCAGCGATACGCACAACGCTCATCGGGACCTGCAACTGCCGGCTGGTGATGTCTTGATCCATGCAGGAGACTTCACGCAGTTTGGAAAGGAGGAGCATGCGTCGGACTTTAATGACTGGCTGGGAGATGCTCGGTGGAGTGTCTTTGGTGCTCATCATTTTGTCAATTGTGTTACTTCAATAAAATTACAGTATTTTGCAATCTTTTTTATATCTTACCATATTATACCATATTATGTATATGTATTATGCATACTTACATACGTATACTTAATGATAAAGCGCGTCATCTTGTTTCAGCCTGATCTCTTTCGTTTCGACTTCCCTAAGCTTCTGTCAGCGAGACTCGTTCCTTAACCAGTCGCCTGGCTTTCGTTGAGGAGCAGCCACACAAGATCAAGCTGGTGGTCTTAGGAAACCATGAGAACAATTCCTCCTGGAACTCACGGGCCCCAGAAATCCTGTCCAATGCTACGCTTCTGCGGCAGCTTGGCACATCTTGGCACTGCATTTTGGGGCTGGGAAAGCTGGTGGATGATTCACGTGCAGCCAATCATGGTTGCGATTCTAGAGATATAGCTTGTATACATATGACAATTCGCCAAAAATAGTTGACAGGAGTGTTGTACTAGTTGTTGATAATTAGCGTGGACCTAGTGGTTTTTCCTCTTCGTTATTAGGCGGCACGCAACTAAATTCAGCAATTCTGCAAGGCAGCGCTAGCAAAGCCGCTAGGTTTGCGCTAGTTTTTTTTTCCTCGCAGCCATGTTCAAGGATATTTTGTTTGTGTTCCTGTTTGCTTGTTATTTCAACATGAAGAAAAGTCAAGATGTAACGCTTAGCTCCTTAAACTTAAGGATGTCTTAGTGAATATCTGTGCTACTCAACAACTTTCCTATATTTTTGAGGTTGCGGCTCAACTTACCCGCTAGATCCCCGCTAGCAATGCGCTAGCAGCAAAAGTTTCAAAAAACGGCTTTGGTTGACCCGTAACCCAGTCGCCACCTGTTTGTTTGACAAAAGCAACAGTGACAGCAAAGGCAACGACCAGCTCTGCAGATATTCCAGTTCCACCACTAATAACTAGCAGCGGCACTCACTTCATATAGACGCGCGTTAGCATTTACTGCAGGTTTTAGCTACGGCTTCAAACAGGAAAGATAAAAAGCAGGGTTCAGACTCTTTAGGTCAGTCATGTTTTTTTAAAGGCACAATAAGAAGCGGCACGCAAGGAATTACGATTTATCAACCAAACCAGGAAAAGACATTGTGGCAAACTGTCATAAGTCATAATATATACATATACATACATATATATATATATTATATATATATATGTAACGTATTCGGAGTTCTGAAGCGACCTTCATGTGATCGGATGTGATGGTGTCGCCTGAGGCACCCTGCTTTAGTATGCTTTTGTATGCTTTCATATCATTGCCTATTGGGCAGAATCAATCAAACATGCCTGGGTTCATCCTAAATGTGAGATAACGTCGTAAACCCAATAATAAACCTACCATTTGGGGAATGAATTTACCACGCATTAATGATTGTGTAAGTCTAAAATATGTTGTGAAACGCCTGCGTTACATTCACTGCCTGAGCAGAGGCAATCAGAGTTTGAATTACCCGTGTCCGATGACAAGTCTTTGAAAGTGCCTTGGTAGCAGTATTTCTGTAGGTTGGCTCAAACCACTGATCGCCTTATAGGGCATGAGGAACAAGAACAGTTATGGAACCGATGGATTTGACACGGGGTGTTGGCCACTAGCTTATTATTGGATTATTTGGATTCTAGATAAAATTCTGGATTCTATATTTTGTCAATTGTCAAGAAGGAACCCAGACAGTACTGCTCTTTCATCTTCGAAACATGTCTTGTGTGGTGAAGCCCCTATATAATATATATATATACACGCAGTGGCAGTCTTCCTGGTTGGCAACTGTTTTTTCAGAGTTTGATCTAAATCCTGCATACTGTGCCAGGAGATGGCCTCACGGTATTCACAAACCACAAAAAGAAGGGAAGGCGTGCTCCTGTTTTTGAACCAATGAATCTCCGAGTTGCCCATGTTTGCCCCATTTGTACATCTATGCCTGTACCCATGCATCCAAAGCTAAATGGCAGTTTCGCTAGAAACATGTGCTGCATGCCAGATATGTGGGATAAGGTCATGCGTTGTGTTCGTTTAGTTTGGCTGAATGTGTTTGACCAAAAACATCCTGAGATGAGCCCAGTGGCGGAAGTTCGAGCTGACTTTGAGGTCTTTGGCACCGATTTCTTCTGGCCATGCCCCAGTGGGAACCCATACTTCGATCAGATCCGTGGATTTATCACCATGGGCAAAGTGGCTGGAAGATGGTACAGGTCCAAGCTAATCATGGAGTGGCCATGAGTGGCCTGGGTCCAAACATTTGGTATCCCCTATATTCACCCAGATTGTATATGCAGCAAATTGCTGCAATACATGAGGCATTTGGACGAGCCATGACAAACTGATGTCCCGGAATTTACCATCCTTCCAGATCCTTCCGGATTGGAGGTTTTTCTCTGTTGACCTCCCCAGCTGGTCATGGGTTTTGTGGCATGTTTCTCCTTCTGCTCCTCCGCAGCCCAGCCTAAGGATCCCTGAAGACACAGACATTTTGATCGCCCATGGGCCGGCCAAGGGATGTGCTGATGGAACGAAAGGCTGTCCAGCTTTGCTGAAGGCTCGAACTGTCCCAATTCGCAATGATGTTTGGCGGATAAACAATAGGATCAATGGACCACATTTGAAGTTGTTGGTCTGGGGCACAAAATTTTGCTCACACCCCGTGATGGGCATATTTGTCTCATCTCGAAACGGCAAAAACATTGCAAACACCAGATATGGTTACCGCCCTATCTTAGATATGTCATTATGTGAATAGCTACGTTGTTCATATAGCACGGCTCCCTTACTTTTTAACGGTTTCACCGGGGCACCAGTCCCGGTTCCATGTTGAGGCAGTGGAAGGCCGCCATATGCAGCTAGTGATCTCCGGACACGTGCACTTCGCCCGTGGAGCTTCGGATGCAGTGGGTATGGCATGGCATGGTATGGTGCTAGGGTTGAGAAATGTTGAGAGATGTTGAGAAGCAAAACATGAAGTACCATTTACAGCCGGAAATTGCTGATGTTTATTTGGTTCCCTCTTTTCTTCGCCCATTTTCATCGATCTTCCTCCCCCAAAAAAACGGGGTGTTGGGAGCAACCCTGATCTATACATGGTTAGGGTTGAAGATGAACCAAAGATGTCCCATGCTAACTAACTCATATTCATAGTTAATCACAAAATTCACAGCAGCTGTTGACTCATTGATTGCTGGATGCGATAGCCCGACGAGGAGAGAACTTCGAAAACATTCAAAAAAATATGCGGGGTCGGCGATGTTACACCAAACAAAATTATACACAATGAAACTATCAATCCATAGAACTTGTCTATATATGCCAAGTATGACATGTGAGAACAGTGGTTCCCCCAAGTGATTCTGCCTGCCACATCGAACATTTCTAAGATGTCCTAATACGATTCATTACAACATGTCAATGTCTGGATCAAAATTAGGTGCAACGTTGATGCGACACCCAGATGGCCGTGAAACAGTGCTGGCGAACGCTGCCAATTGTGGCAGCGGCAAGGACGAACGGAAGCTGAAGCATGGGCCTTTGGTGATCGACTTGTGAGGACCATCCTGCGTGGATGGCAACTGGTCATGTATAGCCGCATAGCCATTGTAGGTGCAATTCAGCTTTCTGTTGGGCTGATAAAGCCTATACACATCTATACACAATGGTCCTTATCTCTATTGTCAGCCGTCGGCAACGTCGACCCGCTGTTGTACAGGAAAAGGGAGGGCTGGACGCAGTGATAGCGAAAAGAGGCGGATCTGCAGTGATCCCAGGGATTGGTCCATCAGAGTCCATCATGTTCTTTCGATCCATTTCGATCAAATGTTGTTACCCTCTGGTAAACTAACGTAACTATGGAAAATCATCATTTTTAATGGGAAAACTCACTATAAATGGCCATTTTCAATAGCTATGTTAAATTACCAGAGGGTACCATGTCAGTACTGCACCAAGAATATGCCAATGCAATACAGGATGGAAAGGGGACACAGCTGGTGAATGCTGGGCTCTGCAGCCCCCTTTGCTCGGCGGGAAGCGCTTGGCATCGCCGCCATGGGCGGGGCAATTTGCACTGTAGAGACAGAGTTGGGGTCCCAAACCTGTCCTGACATCAATGCAAAGGGTCACATGTCGAAGGCTGCGGCTGATGGTATTTGCTGGTGTTCTTCAGGAGTAGATCTGAATTTTCAACTGACCCAAATTGGTGCTCAAAGGTTTCTGACTGATTCCAGTCATTTGTTTTGGTGTTTATGTCCGGGGATGTCGTTTATAGACATGTGATATTTTAAAAATTCTGGGATTCCTCATTGTTTGTGGAATTCATTCTTTGCTGCTGGGCACACAGGTGTGATTTCTTTCCATTTCTCCTGCAAAAGGGTACCAAAAGGAGATCCATTGTTTTCCAAGAGCCTTCAACTAAGGGTCAGAAAGAGCATGGCTGCAGCCTCAGAAAGACTGGTATCCACATGTAGGCCATGTAGCCCATCCAAATCAGTAGTTAGTAGTCACTTGACACTGATGGCACTGATAGCACTGATGGCTTTGAATGAATGATTTCAGCGGAAATTATGCATTATCTCCCATGGGAAGCAAACATGGCAATGGAAATCATCGAAAAGCATCTTCAGGATGTTCTATCAAAATCATTCAGCACTGGCCTAATGGATATATTGGACTATCGCAGGTACTTTGCAGTCTATCCCAGCATCCAAATTGCATCAATTTGCTCTCAAGCCGAGGTGGTGACACCAAGCCTGAAGATGAACGAGCTGAAACAGCCGCAGAGTGAGGCAACAGAAGCGTTTTTTTGCTGGTGGCTGTTTGGTCTGATTGTGAAACACCCACGATCCTTGTCGGGGATGGTTCCAATCAAAGGTTCGGTGATTCTTAGCGGGACCCAAAGGGGCATGTGGTACCCTGCAGGGACTTGTTGCCTGGGACTTGTTGCCTGTTGGGTTGTTTTGTCTTGTTTTGTCTTGTCTGACCTTTCGTTGCCTTGTCTTGTCTTATCTTGTCTTGTCTTGTAGTGTCTTGTTTTGCCTTTCGGTGCCTTGTCTTGTCTTGTTTTGTCTTGCTTTTCGTTGCCTTGTAGTGTCTTGTCTTGTCTTTCGTTGCTTTGTCTCGTCTTGTCTCGTCTTGTCCTGCCTTTCGCTGCCTGGTCTTGTCTTGCGGTGTCTTGTTTTGGCTTGTCTTGCGTTACCTTGTGCTGTCTTGTTTTGTCTTGTTTTGAGTTGCCTTGTGTTGTCTTGTCTTGCGTTGCCTTGTCTTGTCTTGTGTTGGCTTGTCTTGTCTTGCGTTGCCTTATTGTTTTCTTGTTTTGGCTTGTCTTGTGTTGCCTCGTGCTGTCTTGTTTTGTCTTGTCTCGCGTTGCCTTGTTTTATCTTGTCTTGCTTGCGCTGCCTTGTGTTGTCTTGTTTTGCCTTGTCTTGCGTTGTCTTGTGTTGTCTTGTTTTTGTCTCGTCTTATGTTGTGCAGTGTTTTGTTCCTTTGCGTTGCGTTGTGTTCTGCTGGTATCCAGTCTATAGAATGTGCATGAATGTGCGCCCTCTCACGTGTTGCCAATGTACTGTGTGTACATGTTTTTGAGGCCATCACTTGGCCAAGACCAGAACCGGCTTTAGACGTGTTTCTCAGGTTTTCCTGGTGCTATTGGATTCATGTTGATCCCATTTCTGGGTAATGTACCCACAAGGTTGGCTGCTTTCACCCAGTGTCACTGTCTTAGATGCAGCTTCAGGCCTACATCTCAAACGATGAGTGGCAGGAGCTTATGTAAGCATCAAACCAGGGTGTCACACCGGGGCTCAAACTGGTACAGCTGGTTATTGTTGAACTGTTGAGCGGTTGTTTTTGCTCCTCTTTTCATGCCGATGGGTTAATGTTTGATTTTGTTCATGGCCATTTGGAATCATTTGGATCCATTTGCCCTGTTTAGTTGTAGTAGACCTAGGGACCTAGGCCTTGCTGGCCTTGCTCATCAAAAAATTGCCTGGTGATGAACGTTGCCTTGGCCACCATGATACAGCCCTTATCTCTTTTATCAACTTCATGCGCTGCACATATTTCCTGCGCATGCAGATGCTCATTCAATACACAGCTCGGTGAATCCTCATAAGTCCTTCCCGGTAGAAGTTATGATGAATCCGAGCATCAAACGGATTACAACAACCCAAGTTGTTTTTCACAGTTGGAACAAGGCTAGGTCACTTTGGTTTAGGGATGCGGTGAAGAGGAATATTTTGAATAAAGACAATCCAAGTACAAACTCAATACGCCTCCAGGTTTTTTCATAGGGATTGTTAATTATCATCTTAGGTAGGCAAATCAAGCGCCAGCCCAGGAGACCCCAGGTCTGCCAGAGGTCCCACAGGATCCTGATCCGGTGCAGGACCGGGCAGCTGCAGGATTCACGTGGTTGTTTTTTGACATCTATGGGATCTATATCGACCCCCAGGAAGCCTCTTTTGCAGTGACGGTGAAAGCAGCGAAGACAGAGGCTGGCACTGTTTCAGGGTTTCCCTAAGACATCCTAAGACTGTTCAAGATTGTGAAAGTACATCTACGTAGGTTTGGTTGTTTGGTTGGAAGGGCCTAAGACCCAGGATTTCTGGGAGTCTGGGAGGCTGGCTGGGAAGACGTTAGACTTTGTTTCTTGTGTGAGCACCGCCAATGAGTTCGCTGGTTCCCCTAGCTCATGTGGGGTACCTTGGCCAACACTCCTCTTGCATCCACCCAGGCTTCCGGTGTGACGCACCCTGCCTTACTGGGCCGCACCCGGGAGGACCGAAGTGGGGCTGTTGCCTCCTGTATAAACTTGTATAGTGCCTCTTAGAATGGCTCTTAAGCGCCCTTGAGTGCTCATATAAAAAAAGAGAGGGGGATTCAACTCAGAACTGCTCTTGATGTGGTGCTCCTGCAGGTTTTGAGCAGCCAATCACATGTTTGAAACCTGCGGTTTCTACAGGGTGTTGGGCTATCAAATCAAACAAATGAGGTGAGGCACCGTTTGGTCTGGGCTTCTGTGCAAAGTGACCCAGCAAAATGACAGGGGTATCAGGGGTCAGAGAGAGTGGAATGATGCCACCTTTCCATGACACACCTTTGATGGGAAAACACTCTGCACTCTGCATATACATAGCGGATCTATGCGGATTTATGCGGATTTCCCATTGTTGATTACTCGAGGGTATGATTATGTGATGTGCTTCAACAAGACACACAGTTAGAGGAGCACGATTCTTGGTCGGTTGTCGTTTAAATCATTTCAAATTAATCATCTTATTGTTCTCTAGTTTTGGACCTCGAATTCCAGGCCATTCCAGGCCCATATCAATATCCATTGTCGATGACACGAGCCAGGTGAAGCAGATTGGACATGATTTGAGATTTTAGATCTTTTGAGTGGGGTCAGTGACCCATAGAAACCCCCAACTTGGGGTCTTCGCCCCGAAGGATACGGTGGGCACTAAACTCTCGATCCAATCTTCGGCCGCTGGGCTTGCGGCAAAACAGCTTGGTGGATGCTGGAACTGGTTTGACCAGAAATTGTTGTACCACGACCACGATAATATCAATTTTATACCCAGAAATTTGCAACTTTAACGATGAACACTAAACACAATGAATAAACCACTAGATTTTCAAATGCCCTATTTTTTTACAATTCAAACCCATATATTGGAAGGTTTGGGGGGAATTATTGCATAACGCAACTGCTGCTGGAGGGTCATAATTTGAGATAAGATTATAACTTTCAACTTGTCATTTCCCCACCCCACCAAGGCTTTAGTGAAAGGATCAGGATTCATACTGGGATTCGTTGACATGAACACCGTTGGAGGATTTGTTCACTAAAAAAAACGGTTGATGGTTGGGCCTTCCTAATCACATACCTCATATTCTGACACTACCACTGGCAAATGACTTTAAACAACATGTTGTAATAGTGACAGATGACTTTGGCCACCATATCCTATAGAGTTCTATAGTCTTATTCACTCCAGAAAAAGGGGAAACATGATGATTCTGAACATCACCGCGTTTCCTGTGTTCAGAGCCAAGGAGTACATGGGCCCAATTGAGAGTAGCAGCTCGAGCATGTGAGGCTGTGACATTCGGTCGCAGGGAGGTGTGGTTTGATGATGCTTTAAGGGTATTTGATGCCCAAGCAACATGATTTTAGTATTGCATTTTTGGTGGAAGTGGTCATGAGACTTGGCTCCGAATGCAGCATGTTTTGATGAATCATTCAGGCACAGGATAGAGACTTCTGAGATCTTCTGAGTTTGTTGAGCTTTGGAACCTCAGATTACATGGTGTTCATGGCAGAGCTTTTGGCCTTGTGGGAAGGTATACCGCTACAAAGAAAGCTGCCATGTTCCTGGTCTTGATTTCAAGTGTGGGTGACGGCTCCATACCTGCGGACTTTGAAGTTGGTGAATGATGCCTCTCTGCTAGGATGAAAGTATGTAAGCATGGAACGTTTACCTTGTGGCGGTGTTGGGCTTTAGGCTCTCCATTCGGGCATTTCATTACGATCAACGTACAACATGAATCCCAGAATCCGATTTGCCAACCTCTTTGGCAGGATTTGGCTTCTCTTTTCTATTTTACATTAGCAGCTCAGGTGGAAATTAAATTTTATGATGCTTCTTGCCAAAGTGTACTTTCCAAGTGCCAGAGCACCACGCCATTGTTAGATGTTTAGTGTTCGGCACACGTTCTCACAGGCGTTTGGCAGCCCATTCCACTAATCTCAAAAAGTTGTTAGTGCCTTTGCATGCCTTTGCATCTTAGAGCCAATGTTGAACACATGGTCACATGACGCCTGTAAGCCTCTAATGTTGGCTCTGTTGCGGGGGATGCTGTGCCAGATCTCTTGAGACCACGATTGACCAAGGAAAAACATAGATGACAGATGACAGTGAGGTGCTTTGCTGCAGCCCTTCCCTCGAGGTGAGCTATGTCTCACCACCATGGGCTTGTCCAAAGAACGATATAACCATAGAGGCTGTCCTCCATCATTTCTGTTGCATTGTTGCGATGTTTTCAGCTTGACAATGAGTCTTTGTGGAACCATATTGGCAACCCCAAGGCCGGCCGGTTGAGGGAACAAGCACGCAACAAGTCCGTGTTTGGTGGGCCCGGCCAGGCCTTAAAGTCTTAAAGTCACACCCTGGCTGAAGAATCTGATGATGACCCTTCTATGTCATCCTCATCAGTTGACCGTAGTTAACACTCCTCACCATCCTGTCCATGTTTGGCACCTGCACTGTCTCCTCAACCTTGTCTTCCTCCTGTTTGTGAAGACTTATGATGAAGAATTGGCAGAGCACGCACTCTGTTGTCTACCAGTCTGACGAACAGATGACTCTCATCCTTGGGTGTTTTTTTTTCCTGGACACTAGACATGTGGCCAGCGCGCGCGTTGGGATTAGGACCCTGGGAGGCTTATGGATTTCGGCTGGAACTGCTGTAAAGTTCGCTGACGACAGCAACCCTATGAAGTCGCTTGAAGAGCTGTCTTCTTACAGGGCTCATGTTTTGGCTGGGTGCGAAAGCCGAAGTTTTGGGTTGGGCCGACTCCTTGCCAACAGCATTCCGACATATTCCGACTGGTGACTAGATAAGACCTACTACATCCACTGTCAAATCTCAACTGTCGTTCTCTGATGGGCAAAAAGTGTAACAGGATGCTTGCAAAAGATTGCAAAAGGACGATCGAGACTGTGATTATAAATCAGCAGTGTTGCACCCGGCTGATCATAACTTTACTTGCTGTCAAGCCATTAGCTCATCGTGATCCTGTTTGACATCCTCCGTCATGTGGGCCATGCATGCTTTGCTACCAAGTATGCATACTGAATCCAGCTGTCTGTCTCTTGATCACAGTAGACACAGATGAAGGCACACTCATTGCCACGGCCACTTCCAGTGGCCAATTGTTTTTGAACAAATATATAGTGGGGTTCATTCTGCTCTTTAACAAGTCTCAAAACATCTTCAAACACATAAAAAGTATTCACGCAAGTTTTGAGGTATGGACTGGTCGCAAAAAGTGACTTCCATAAGCTGTAATTACAATGTGTGCTTGGAAAGGTGCATATTCGCACAGTCCACAAGAGACAAAAGATACATAAACGATGGAGCAATTGATAGATAAGATAAGACTAAAGAAAACAAGATTTAGATAGACTAGATAAACTAGAAGGTTGGATCCGATTATGTGATATTGCTGCTGTAGGAGTAGGTTTGGTTGCATAGATAGACAGGTCAGATAAGACAAGATAGGCCTAGACTAAACCAAGCTAAGCTAGAGAGATAGATAGATAGATAGATAGATAGATAGATAAATAGATAGATAGATAGATGGATAGACAGATAGACAGATAGATAGATAGATAGATGGATAGATGGATAGTTGGATAGATTGGATAGATTGGATAGATTGGATAGATTGGATAGATTGGATAGATTGGATAGATTGGATAGATTGGATAGATTAGATAGATTAGATAGATTAGATAGATTAGAGAGATAAGACAGATAAGACAGATAAGACAGATTAGACAAATTAGACAGATTAGACAGATTAGATAGATTCGATAGATTAGATAGATTAGATAGATTAGAACAAATAGAACAATTAGATAGATTAGATAAATTAGATAGATTAGATACATAAGATAGATAAGATAGATACGATAGATAAGATATATTAGATAAGATAAGATAAGATAGATAAGATAGATAAGATAGATAAGATAGATAAGATAAGATAAGATAGATAAGATCGATAGATAGATAGATAGACAGATAGATAGATAGACAGACAGATAGATAGATAGACATATTGACAGATAGATAGACAGATAGATAGATAGATCGATTGATCGATAGATCGATAGATCGATAGATCGATAGACAGACAGACAGACAGATAGATTACATGATATTGCTGTCAACATATAGAGAGAAAGCGAGATAACTGGATAGATATATCAGATCGGATCGGATCAGATCAGATCAGGTGTTTGGACTGGTTATTATAGGAATGGTAGAGTTGCAGGCTCGTACCCTCTTATAGTTGGCGGCATTTCACTGACGCGCTGCATTTTATAAATCAACCAATAACATCCAATATCTAGCAGTTCTTTGTGAAATGACATTGGCTCGAGTATGACCTGACATTGTGAGTAGACGGTTGCTGCTGGTGATATTTGGTGATGAGAATGAAGCTGGATGATGCCGTTTGGATTCAAGTGCATCTTGGTCGGCCGGCCACGAGGGCTGCTGACATGGTTGGATATGACGTCAGTGAGGACTTGAGGAGAAAAAAACAGCGATCATTTTGAAGTCGCGATGACCTCGAACATAGTACTGATGTACTGGGTAGTTCGGGATGGTCACGACCATTATTCGCGTATATTCACGTATATTGAAGATTTCTGGCATAGGTCAATCTGTATGTCAAGGATCTTAACATGTCTTAACATTCCGTTTGAGCATCCGGGGCGTCCTGTTGACGCCAAGGTCTTCTTGGGGGAGGCTGGTCGCCTTCGTTGGAACATGATGGATTTGCAAGATCACCTGGAACAACTTGTGGAACGACCAAGAAGACAAGCAGCCCACACACGTTCAAATATGCACGTGCAACTAATACACTCGCAAAAAAGGTTATTGTGACAGAATATTAATTATTATATATAAGAATGCAGCGCAATGTAATGTTTTATTTGTTTTTATTTGTTCTGATTAAATCTGATTAAGTCATGTGAAGTCACCCGTTGTGTTCGTTGTTTTTCATCGCCATCGCCATCCCGCATCCATCGTCCCAGGCGCCGCCGCCGCAAAACGCTGTGCGGCGGCGCGATTTGGACTTGCGGCGGGCCTGGGCCGAGGCACAGGGGATGGGAATATGATGATCTAATGGCCAATGGCAATATAAACTGGTTGATGGTTTGGAACATTTTTATTTGTCCATAATATATGGGATATTCATGGATAATCCTTCCCAACTGACTAATATTTTGATATATTTTTCAGAGGGGTTGAAACTGCAAACCACCAACCAGTAAATGTCATGGGCCAATATGGGCCATGGGATTCTTTCAAAACTAATTTATGATTTTTATGGGTAGACTGTAGACTGATGATTATTGATGATTGTGTGTGTGGGCGTCTGAAAGTGGGGTATACCCCCAAAAATGAGAATTGCAATGGAAAAGTCATGAAACCCGATGATAAATGGTGGATTTAGGGAGGCACTATGTTCAGACAAACCCGGAGGTGAAGGCTTCAGCTGCAGAAAGCTATCCTCCTGCTGGCCTCAATGAGAAACATAGTGACCGAGAGTGACATAGTATTATAATGTATTATATAATAGGGCTGAAATCATCAATCAGATATATGATGATATACTGGTGGTTTATTCTCAGAACAGTGTATGCGGATGATACGTGCGTGTTTATTCAGCAGAAAAACGACCTGGTGACACCAGCCTGGTGATCATGTTTCCACTGGCTGCTGGGCTCATTCATTCCTTCGTTCGGATGCATCTTTCTTTCAGATGATTTCGGACTGGCGACGGTGAGCCATACTGTAGGCGATAGCTTGTGGGAATTTCTAAGATGTTCAAAGCAATTTGGTAGGTCAAATGCACAAAACCTCAGTTGTTTAAATTAAACTATATTTTTGTGTATGGCGTATGGTTTCCATGTCCGATTGTATAATCGGATCACACGCAAGAAAGTGTGTGTGACATGTGTGTGTGTCAAGCTCTGTACCAAAGAGTTCTTCACCTTTTGTGGCTGACTTCAACTAACTTGTTTTTGGCCGCTTTCTTCCATAAACTATTGATACCGTTGCGCCTTTAATTCATAGCAGGGGGCACAAGGACCTTTGGTGAGTCTTGTGCCAATGAAGACACTCACCTCAGGTTGTGAAAACGTACCTGCATGATGCACCTGGATGACATACCCAATATGTTGGGGTCATAGCTGGTGGTCACATCCGTATCCGTTAGTACTCCATGGGATCAGGCTAACCCAAAAACCTGCATGCCGTCATTCATTCATTTCATGACCATGTCGGATTGAGAAATCTCGGTTTTTCTTTTTAAACCTGACATCCAAATGTCAACGGATAAGCTTGGCCTTTTTAACTCGGTATGGCCGAGTGATGCCTTCAACCTACCATGAGGTAATCAGACTTTGCATTCATGATAAGAAACTGTCTTTCATGACTTCGCAAGTGTGTGTGTGTGTGTTCGTCCTGGGCCATTACAGGTTTGGTGGCGTTTCAGATCACGTCGACGGATGGAGCAGGGCAGCCCATTGTTTTGGGCACTTTCCAAAGTGCCCAGAAATTTGGTCACTGGAAAGTGGTCCATTTCCGGAATAGGATTTCTGCGGTATGTGTTGCACTTTACGGCACTTTTTACATTTATTGTTGCAGCAAAAAATGAAGTGCATTTTTTTCGTGTGAGAATTGCAAAGTGGGCTACTAGGCGAAAGTAGCCTTCAATAATAGGCAACTACGGCTTTCCAGGTAGGTTCATACATGTCCATATATATGGTATCATCCGGTCGCAGCTGAGGCAAAATCAGCAGGATGAGAGCTATGGTCCAAGCTGTGACTATCAACAGTTATCTGAAGGTCTTGCCGGGCCAGCAGGGTTGCAGGGCCATGCGGTGTGGTGATGCGAGTTGCTAAGCGATCTGAAAATCAACACAGGGGGACAAAGTCAAAGTGAGTTGCCCAGGGAAATTAGTGACAGATTCAAGCTGCTTAGCATGTTTCAGCATCCAGCTGGTGGCTCAAGTTTCATGTTCGTTTTTGTAGATCCATCGCCCATAGATGTCCATATTCCAGTAAAGTCAGTAAAGAACATCTCCAAAAGTGGATCCAATCATCCCATTTAACATTTTTTCTGATCGACCCACGGCCTGGGAAGTTGGTTGTCCAGGCCCTGCCGGCTCTATGGCTACTCAGTGGGGGCGGCCTGGTGAGAAGGGCAGCAATATTGGCGTTCTTATGCGTTAACTCAATAGCAAAGGGACAAGTGGCAGCCTTACCTGATAGCAGTGAAAGTATTGAAACTGGAAATTGTCATACTGTTCTAAGTCATGTGTGCATGCTTTGGGATCTTTGGGCATGGCCTGTGCTGGCTTGCTTTTCAGTGCTGTTTTTCTTTAGCCGTTTTGGGTTAAGCCTCGTGTCCTTGCTACTCCAAGCCGCGGAATATTGCCAGTATTCCGAAGATCATGGCCAGACAAGACCAGGTGATCGGATTGGTGGCTTCTGAGTGCAACAACTTTGTTGACCACTTCTTCTCCGCAAACTGCCAGGCCTTTGCAGAGTTGGATAACCCCGACGTCATGAAAGCTGAGCAAAAGCCAGAGTGGTTCAATCTGTACCAGCAATTCGAAGCACAAGCGGAACTCACTATGCAGAACGCGCTGATGCTTTGGGGCCTTGTTCAAGCAAAGACCTTTGAGGAGCAATTTGTGGAGGAGGCCATGCATTCACAGGCCCTGGATGACTTCCTGTCCCTCACGGACTACCCAGCTTTCGTGAAGCGCATGCACCGAGAACTGCAAAGCCGACATCAAGACGCAACCCTTCCAGATGCTGATTGGCTGCGACAACTCTCGACATCTTCTCGGCCTGAAACTCATTGGAGTGATGAGGTCCCTTGCACCATGTTGCACATATTTTGAATACCTGAGACGATTTTAAAGTTTAGAGAGTGTTTATACAAACACCGTTGCAATTACTGCTATTCCATTTGTGCCTGGCCAGTGGCAGCACATTTGTTGCCAGATTTGCCAGTGTAAAACATTGAGTTACATTGTTTTGCTGGCAGTGATGCCTTGTTTGAGCAGCTCATTCATGTCTTGGGAATGCAGGCTACTAGCCGGCGCTTGTCGGAATTAGACCAACGTTTGGCTGCAGTTGAAGCCGAGCGCAATGCCTTGTTGGTGGAGCGGCGTGCATTGGTTGGCCGGCATGTGCAGGCAGACACAAGCAAAACTCTGAAGCACCAAATCCAGCTGCAGCGCTACAAGGAAGAAATTGGCATGGACTGAGCTGAGGCAGCTAAAGTACCCAAGGGATCCTAAGGATTCGGGGATGAGGCCCGAGTGAACCGGATTCTTTGAAGCTTTGCATAGTTTCCCTCCAACCACCGTCATGACATGTTCCTAGGCCTTCTAAGCAGCAGGCAATAGCAGGCACATGCAGGCACCAAAAGAAGCAGAGCACAATCAAAAACCTTTCTTGTGTGAAATCTGTGAAGTGATTGGATGCTTGGAGGGATTACGGCATCAATATGTATCAATTGTTTTATCATACTGTATAGCTTGCTAAAGAAGGGACAAGGGAAAGAACCGCAGCATTTGAAGGCTGTTTTTGCTCCCTTTGTCCCAGTCAGTTTTGCTCGGCAGCATTTGATCTGCTGGCTCCAATTTCTCAGCCGAGGGGCCGTCTCCTCCACTCGACAAAATCGAGGGTCTCAGCTGGGTTTCTATCTCTTTCTGCCGGCGTTGGCCGCAGCATTGGCTCTCAGCCTGTGAAGCTGCGAACAAGCAAATGGAACTTCGCGTTGCGACACGCAGGAGGGAAAGTTACAGATGGATACAGATGGTTGACGAGCAGATAGGAGTAGAATGGAGCAGATGCGTGCAGATGCACGTGAGTAGGTAGGCTATTGTCCACTATTTGCAGCTGCATGTTGGGAAGACCATGGAAAACCGCCTAAAACATCCTAAAACCGCCATGGTCAGAGATGCCGCATTTGTGCACATGATTGCAAGTTTGTAGCCTGCTTTTCAGTGCTGTTTTTCTTTAGCCGTTTTGGGTTAAGCCTCGTGTCCTTGCTACTCCAAGCCGCGGAATATTGCCAGTATTCCGAAGATCATGGCCAGACAAGACCAGGTGATCGGATTGGTGGCTTCTGAGTGCAACAACTTTGTTGACCACTTCTTCTCCGCAAACTGCCAGGCCTTTGCAGAGTTGGATAACCCCGACGTCATGAAAGCTGAGCAAAAGCCAGAGTGGTTCAATCTGTACCAGCAATTCGAAGCACAAGCGGAACTCACTATGCAGAACGCGCTGATGCTTTGGGGCCTTGTTCAAGCAAAGACCTTTGAGGAGCAATTTGTGGAGGAGGTCATGCATTCACAGGCCCTGGATGACTTCCTGTCCCTCACGGACTACCCAGCTTTCGTGAAGCGCATGCACCGAGAACTGCAAAGCCGACATCAAGACGCAACCCTTCCAGATGCTGATTGGCTGCGACAACTCTCGACATCTTCTCGGCCTGAAACTCATTGGAGTGATGAGGTCCCTTGCACCATGTTGCACATATTTTGAATACCTGAGACGATTTTAAAGTTTAGAGAGTGTTTATACAAACACCGTTGCAATTACTGCAATTCCATTTGGGCCTGGCCAGTGGCAGCACATTTGTTGCCAGATTTGCCAGTGTAAAACATTGAGTTACATTGTTTTGCTGGCAGTGATGCCTTGTTTGAGCAGCTCATTCATGTCTTGGGAATGCAGGCTACTAGCCGGCGCTTGTCGGAATTAGACCAACGTTTGGCTGCAGTTGAAGCCGAGCGCAATGCCTTGTTGGTGGAGCGGCGTGCATTGGTTGGCCGGCATGTGCAGGCAGACACAAGCAAAACTCTGAAGCACCAAATCCAGCTGCAGCGCTACAAGGAAGAAATTGGCATGGACTGAGCTGAGGCAGCTAAAGTACCCAAGGGATCCTAAGGATTCGGGGATGAGGCCCGAGTGAACCGGATTCTTTGAAGCTTTGCATAGTTTCCCTCCAACCACCGTCATGACATGTTCCTAAGCCTTCTAAGCAGCAGGCAATAGCAGGCACATGCAGGCACCAAAAGAAGCAGAGCACAATCAAAAACCTTTCTTGTGTGAAATCTGTGAAGTGATTGGATGCTTGGAGGGATTACGGCATCAATATGTATCAATTGTTTTATCATACTGTATAGCTTGCTAAAGAAGGGACAAGGGAAAGAACCGCAGCATTTGAAGGCTGTTTTTGCTCCCTTTGTCCCAGTCAGTTTTGCTCGGCAGCATTTGATCTGCTGGCTCCAATTTCTCAGCCGAGGGGCCGTCTCCTCCACTCGACAAAATCGAGGGTCTCAGCTGGGTTTCTATCTCTTTCTGCCGGCGTTGGCCGCAGCATTGGCTCTCAGCCTGTGAAGCTGCGAACAAGCAAATGGAACTTCGCGTTGCGACACGCAGGAGGGAAAGTTACAGATGGATACAGATGGTTGACGAGCAGATAGGAGTAGAATGGAGCAGATGCGTGCAGATGCACGTGAGTAGGTAGGCTATTGTCCACCATTTGCAGCTGCATGTTGGGAAGACCATGGAAAACCGCCTAAAGCATCCTAAAACCGCCATGGTCAGAGATGATGCCGCATTTGTGCACATGATTGCAAGTTTGTAGCCTGCTTTTCAGTGCTGTTTTTCTTTAGCCGTTTTGGGTTAAGCCTCGTGTCCTTGCTACTCCAAGCCGCGGAATATTGCCAGTATTCCGAAGATCATGGCCAGACAAGACCAGGTGATCGGATTGGTGGCTTCTGAGTGCAACAACTTTGTTGACCACTTCTTCTCCGCAAACTGCCAGGCCTTTGCAGAGTTGGATAACCCCGACGTCATGAAAGCTGAGCAAAAGCCAGAGTGGTTCAATCTGTACCAGCAATTCGAAGCACAAGCGGAACTCACTATGCAGAACGCGCTGATGCTTTGGGGCCTTGTTGAAGCAAAGACCTTTGAGGAGCAATTTGTGGAGGAGGCCATGCATTCACAGGCCCTGGATGACTTCCTGTCCCTCACGGACTACCCAGCTTTCGTGAAGCGCATGCACCGAGAACTGCAAAGCCGACATCAAGACGCAACCCTTCCAGATGCTGATTGGCTGCGACAACTCTCGACATCTTCTCGGCCTGAAACTCATTGGAGTGATGAGGTCCCTTGCACCATGTTGCACCTGTTTCCCCGCCACGTGTCAGTTGAGGGTTGTTAATTCATGTTAATTCGATTTTATGTCAGCTGTCGCCTTCTTCGTCTCCTCCTCCTCCTCCTCCGCCGGACCTCAACTGCAAGCGCTAGATCGCAGTGTTCCTCGCTGCACCTGAACAACAAGCTCAGGAGCAGAGTGATCCCTGCCGGACCTCAACTGCAAGCGCTAGATCGCAGTGTTCCCCGCCGGACCCGAACAGCAACCCCTGGATCAAAGTGATCCCCGCCGAACCTCAACTGCAAGCTCTGGATCGCAGTGTTCCCCGCCGGACCCGAACAGCAACCTCTGGATCAAAGTGATCCCCACCGGACCACAACTGCAAGCTCTAGATCGCAGTGTTCCCCACCGGACCCGCCGAACAGCAACCTCTGGATCAAAGTGATCCCCGCCGGACCTCAACCACAAAGAATCCCCAAAGATACACCAGATAGAATGCGAGAAAGAATGTCAGAATATATGCCAGAAAGTATGTTAGAAAGAATGTCGGAATATATGCCAGAAAGTATGTCAGCGGCTAGATAGAATGTCAGAAAGAATGTCGGAAAGAATGTCAGAAAATATATGATCACCCTTTTCGTGGGGTGTAAGCATGGGGGACGTTCAAAAAATGTAAGCAACAATTTTGACCCCTTCGTATTTTTTCCCGATGTGGAAGGCTATATGTATGTATGACCCCTCCTACGTCAAAAACCGTGCCCCGGAAGATTTACATTTAGGGGGGTTGAAAGTCCGCAGGAGATACGTCACCCCGTACCCCCCTCCGAACCCCCCCCCGTACTCTACGGATAGGGGGGGGGGGGGGAGGTAAAAATTGTTAAAATCTGTTTGTGAGGTGTCTTTGTGGGGATGTAATCAACTTATGTCTGAGGTCCATAGTTCCTTAATTGCAGAAAGTGTTCGAAAAAGAAGGTAAAACTAAGATAGAAAAATGCAACCATCCTGCAACTGAGGCTTATAATTCCTGGCAGAAAGTGCTTAAAAAAGATGGTAGAGATGAGATAAAAAAATGTAACCATCCTACATTTGAGGTCCTTACATAATTCCTTGCAGAAAGTGCTTAAAAAAAGGTGGAGATAAGATAGAATCATGTAGTCATCCTACACCCGAGGTCCTTAATTCCTTGCAGAATTTGTTTTAAAAAGAAGGTAAGCATGAGATAGACACATGCAACCATATTACACCTGAGGCCTCAAAATTCCTTGCAGAAAGTGCTTAAAAAAGAAGGTACATATAAAATTTTAATAAAAAACAATCCATCCTATGCACAAGGTCCATAGTTCCTTGCAGAAAATGCTCGAAAAAGAATGTAAAGCTAAGATTGAAAAATGTAAGCATCCTACACCTCAGGTTCCACAGTTCCTTTCAGAATCTGGTTGGAGGGTCATAAGGGGGATAGGAACCGTGGCAGAAGGGTGTTTGAGTTCGATCATGTAGGTACATAAAGGGAGTTTACCATGGGGACCCCATAAAGGTTTATTTAAAATTTGAGGTCCATTTGAGGTCCATGTGAGATCTTTATTTGTATTCTACGGTTTTCTTTCCATAGGTAGGAGGTAAATTTGAAGACCTTCAACACCTAATTTTTACATTTATTTGAAGTTCAAGGATTCTCCAGTAATTTCCAAGGAATAATATGCCTTCTATACCTCTATGTTACATGTGGAAATGACAAAAAATGCAGAAAAGGTGTAGGCTGTACTGGAAATACCAAGTAATTGGGGTCCTACAAACTTTCAGTTTGCATTTTTGATTTTCTGCAATTCTGCAGCTATTCGCAGACCTTCACACTACAATTTTACATGTGTTTTTCATTTTTTTTTCAAAAATGCGATCGGACATGTTGAACGCTCCCCTGCGTTTTTTTCAGAAAATATATACATGAAATCCCGTAAAGAGTGAGGGGACCTACTAAAATGAAATTTTGCAAATAGAACGCAGTTAGAAAAATAAACGTTTGCTCTCAAAAATGTTTAAACTGTGTCTTGCAATTTGGGTACGTCCCCCCGTTCAAAGGGTAGTGATTTTATATGCCAAAAAGATCCAAAAAGTATGTCAGAATGTATGCCACATAGAATGTCAGAAATGTGCCATACAATATAATATACACTTCCAGATGGTAACCCTGGTATGTCGGAAACTATGTTAGAATGGTGTTTCAAAGTGGGGATCACTCGAAGAAAGTAATTTGAAGACCTGATTGATTTTTTTTTTTACGAGGATGGTGTTCGTGTAGCAACTGTTATCATATGTGCCCCGTTTTTTGTTGCCAGCGTAGACCCCCCCAATTTCATGTGTTTTGTGGGCAGTGATGTCATGCCCGAGCAGCTCATTCATGTCTTGGGAATGCAGGCTACCAGCCAGCGGTTGTCAGCATTGGACCAACGTTTGGCTGCAGTTGAAGCCGAGCGCAATGCTTTGTTGGTGGAGCGGCGTGCATTGGTTGGCCGGCATGTGCAGGCAGCCACAAGCCAGACTTTGAAGCACCAAATCCAGCTGCAGCGCTACAAGGAGGAAATTGGCATGGACTGAGCAGGCACACAAATTGGCAGGTTTGGGAACCAAACTTGAACCACAGCGCCCAGTTTCCTTTGAGTATCCTGAACAGGCCAGCTTCCCGACATTTTTTGCAAATGTATGCCACTTAAAAAAGGTGTGCTTTGTATTGTTTTTTCTCCATTCGTTGGGGAAGTCTTTGGGGTGCCACCTGGAGGGGCCACAGCATCTCTTTTATCAATAGCAGAGTTAGGACATTGCAAGGGGGAGGACAAGGGGAAGGAAATTCGGGCATTTGAAAGCCAACCCGAAGTTATTCCCTTTTGTTTGTAAACATTTTTGTTTGGTCCGGTAGCATTTGACCTGCCAGCTCCAGATTTTCAGCAGAGGGGCCGTCTCCTCCACTCGACAAACTCGAGGGTCTCAGCTGAGATTCTTTAGCTGTTTTTTCTGTGGGCACATGCCGCAGACCACTTGACAGTTGAAGTGGCGACACAAAAAAGGACAGATGTCCCTGGATTCCCGTGGTTCTATTATGTTTTGCGTTGTTGAGTCGTGCTGTGCCCGTGGCAAAATTTGATAATTTGCTACAGTTGAAGTTGCATCACCGCAGGCCATATGCAGCCCATGTCAACCTTGTTCTAAGGTCCACAGCCAATAGTTTCAGAGACTTTTGGCTCTCTCTGGGCGGCGGGCCCTTGAGTATCGACACCCTAGGCAGTTGACATCGGCTGAGTGGGATGTGATATGGCGTACTTGTTCATTTTATGCAGGATGGACCAATGCCAGAGTCGGATAAGATATGATCAGATAGAATAGGGTAATAGGGTTGAAACCAGGCAACATGTCCTGAGTTTGACACAACAATCTACTGCCAGATCTCGGAACAGTTCTCCAGGCTTTGTTCTGTTTGATTCGTTTCGTTCCTCACCAATCCACTGATGGTCAACTTCCACTGAGAAGACAAAGTCTATGGACTTTTTTGTTGCTACATCCCACTGGTGAAATTTTGTCCAGGCCCCTGAAAAGTAAACCCACTTTCATACCCAACCTCCTGCAGCTTTGCCAAGATCTTGCAGGCAGTGATCCGTCCAGGCACTGGGGTGGTATGGAGTTGTCAAACAAACAGTTGATACAGCTGCAAGTCACATGTTTCATTGCAGTTGCCTCCTAACTGCACCCACCCATTACTCTGCACTACTAGTATTTGCAACCTCTCAGCACATGCTGCAAACCTATCTCCACTTCGGATGTTGCTGTCATGCGCTGTTGTGACTTTGAAACACACTCAAAGTTGTGTATGCCTATATATATTATATATATGTTGTTTTGTTCTTTTATCGTTTTTATATGTGTTTATATGTGTTTATCTTATTTGATATTTGTGGGCCTCCAGCCAGTGATAGTCAGCCGAGGCAGGCACGACGAGGATGGGCCATTGCGCTGAATGGATGGGCTTCATCAGAGTTTCCATTACAAGTTGTCCACCCTTCTGGAAGCGTATTCTGAATCCACGACTTGGGGATTGTCTATGGTTGTGGAATATGTTGGATCCATGCGAGCCATGATCAGTTGGATTCTATAGCAAGATTGGGGATGGTCATCAATCCATTACTAGGGATTTGTATACCCAATATGTTTGGATTCGCATAAAATGGGATGGATGACAATACCACATTAGTCATTAACTTCATTTTATCATATATTATAATTCCACCCATTATTTTCCCATTATTGTTTTTATTCCACTATCCGATTTTCCCATTAGTGTTAGGAAATATTTCCCATTACTGTAATTATAAATTATATTTAATTATATCACTTCATATTCCCATTTTTATTTTGTTAAATCGCCGGTATACCACCATTTTTTGACCGTGAAGCTGGTGGTAGGAACAGACCCTGGCAGACCTCGTGGTCGTCCTGAGGCTCAGGTTGCGTTTTTTGGCTGCATGGCGGCTGTTGTGGCCCATATTATGTAGTTGGTGGTTGTCAATCGTTGTCATATGCAAAGCACAGTGTCGCAATTTCTGCTACCCAGGGGCATTGCGCAACGGAGCCGCTCGGTCTTTGAGCCTCGGGCCAGTGCAGTCCCCAGGGAGGACATATCTGTGGCAGTCATTTCAATAATTAGCAGGGATGGACTGACCAAGATATATTGTATGTTTGAGATGTTGAAACATGAGATGTTGAAACATAATACAAAACTGAACAAGAGACCAATCAAGAACACTATAAAAATGTGATATCAATGTTTGAATATGCTTGGCTTGTACTGAGTTGGTTCATATTTGAAGCATATTTAGAATCATTCCAAATCAAATACTATGTCTTCCCATTATCATTGATTTGGGGACCGATGGGACCGCTTCCCAGTAAGATGTAGTAAGGATCTCGAGGATCTCCTACAGCATCCCAGGTGATCGCTATCACCAGTTGGATGATGGCCCTCGGCGTCAGGAGTGCGGCTGTGCGCATCTCTCACGAGTGCGTTGAAGGGAAAAAATCGAAACTGGAAGCCAGTGGAAGCATGTGGAAACCCTAAATTTAAGGCTAAAAACATCGAAAAACCATGATTTCCTGTACATGTTCCCTTCCATCAATCTATTGAAGAGATATGAAGAGATAAATTGATAGAACTGAACCGACAGACCCAGCGACCTTTGGCTCGTCGCAGCCCGCTGGATTTGCACCGATGGGAGAAGCAGATCCAAGAAAGGCCACGAAGAATGCGGAGACTTGGCCACAAAAAGCGCATGGCATATAGGTCTCCAAACATCACCCCAATTCTCAGTACAACTTTGTTGTTTTCTAGTGCAATCTTTCAGTTTGCAAGGTCTGAGCGGAGAGATGTAGAGAGCATGTGAGCAATTCCTTGGAGATGCGGGCATGTTTGCATCATGCATTATTGTAAACAATTTTGATTCCAGACATTTGCTTGCAGTGATTCATTTTCACTCCTCAACTCAACCATTCTGTCAGCATGAGTGACCTTGAAATCAGCCTTTTGTATCCTTTTTGTAGCGATGTCGTGATTTCCCCCTATGCTATCCCTCTCATCATATTCTCATCTCAGATATCTCAGGACAGTAAGTATTTGGCGGCCTTGTCGGATGTGCGCTTGGAGGGCTCCAACGAAGCCGTGTACTTCGTCCTGAGGGGCTTGGGCATGAAAGCATCCCCAGGCAGAGCATGTGGTGCCGCCAGGGGATCCACAATGATTCCATATGGGGCCTTGGAGTTTGGGGATGTTTTTTGAGTTTGGACATGTGTGGACATTTGGCAGGTCAAGGATTTCATTATCAAATTAGGTACAATTGCCAATATTTGCCAATGATTTGTCATCATTCTACTTCAGTATGAGGTGAATGCTGGAGGTAATTTTGCTAAGGCTTTGACAGCACGCAGCAGATGCTCTTATGCACTGGAAAGGTCTGGAAACTATTTTACAGCTCACCATGGTGTAAAATCACGGATGTTTTCTTATGGGTTTCTCAACATCCCTCAATTAAGTAGACATATAGGATAGGATAATAAGCTTCCCATTGCTTGATTTGTTTTCCCCTCTCAGAGCCTTCCCGCAGGTCCAAATAGCCTGCCGCGGATTGAAATCATGGCCGCGCAGCATCCGAGGCATGGCCGTCCCTGTTTTCTATCAAAATCCTAAATATCTTAGCCATACTCCAAGGCTGACCAGATTCCAGACCACAGTGGCTGAACACACATATTCAACAGCATTGTATTGCGATGGGATTGGCGCACTCTTGTGGTGTGTTGATGGTTTCTCCATGGATGCAGGTGGTCCGAGTCCAATTTCCATCGCTTTTCTGGCACCTTTTCCTCAGCACCAGGCTCTATGCGGCATTGCGTCGCTTGGGGCTGCGTCACCTCCGAGCAACCTGGAAACCAACCGTTTGGATCCATTTGGGGCCCGCGCAATCATCCCTAGAGGTAAAAGCCAATATACAAAAGCCAAAATGGGGATGGTTTATTCTTGGGTTTAACACATGATGTGGTAAGGTAGTTGGGCGATGTTGTGCGATGTTGTGCGTGTGTGTGTGTGTTGTTTGGCATATTTACGGAGATGATTAAATACGTAGACAGATGTAAACAGATAAATGCATATTTGCAAGTAGTCAGGCTGAGGCGGAGCTTGTTCGGATTCAATGAGGGACAGAGAACCGCAAATAATCATGCTCCCTATACTAACCCCCCAAATGCTAAACACGGTGATCTATTTTTATTATTAAGGGTTATTTAGTATTAGTGCGCCCTAATAATAAAGCAACGACTTTAATTAACTAGACGACGGATGGCCCGAGAGCGTAGAGGAGCAGGGTCTCCTGTTGTTAGTATTGAGACACTATATTACAAGACAATATATTAAAGATCTATTATAGGCAGACGAGAAGAGTAGTATCAAGACAATATTTTACAAGTACAAGACAATAGTTTGCATCGTATCCTTCGTATAGTTTTTCACACTCAGAACCCTTTACACACAGACGCTTTTGCACACGGAAGCTTTTACACATAGAAGCTTTTACACACAGAGACTTTTACACACACAGACGCTTTTACACACAGACACTTTTACACACAGACGCTTTTACACACAGACGCTTTTGCACACAGACGCTTTTACACACAGACGCTTTTACACACCAGACTTTTACACACAGCCTAGAAGCTTTTACACACAGAAGCTTGTACACACAGACGCTTTTATACACAGACGCTTTTACACACAGACGCTTTTACACACATACGCTTTTACAATCTTTACACACAGACGCTTTTACACATAGACACTCTTACACACAGACGCTTTCACACACAAACACTTTCACACACAGAGACTTTTAAACACAGAAGCTTTTACACACAGACACTTTTACACACAGACGCTGTTACACACAAACACTTTCACACACAGACGCTTTTACACACAGACGCTTTTACACACAGACGCTTTTACACACAGACGCTTTTACACACAAACACTTTCACACACAGAGACTTTTACACACAGAAGCTTTTACACACAGACACTTTTACACACAGACGCTCTTACACACAAACACTTTCACACACAGACGCTTTTACACACAGACGCTTTTACACACAGAAGCTTTTACACACAGAAGCTTTTACACACAGAAGCTTTTAGACACAGTCGCTTTTACACACAGACGGTTTTACACACATACGCTTTTACAATATTTTACACGCAGACGCGTTTACACACAGACACTTTCACACACAGACGCTTTTACACACAAACACTTTCACACACAGAGACTTTTACACACAGAAGCTTTTACACACAGACACTTTTACACACATACGCTTTTATACACAGATGATCACAGATGCTTTTACACACAGACGCTTTTACACACAAACACTTTCACACACACAGAGGCTTTTACACACAGACGCTTTTACACACAGAAGCTTGTACACACAGAAGCTTTTACACACAGACACTTTTACACAGACGCTTTTCCACACAAACACTTTCACACACAGAGACTTTTACACACAGAAGCTTTTACACACAGAAGTTTTTACAGACGCTTTTACACACAGAGGCACTTACACACAGAAGCTTTTACACAGAGACTCCTTTACACACAGACGCTTTTACACACATACATACACATACGCTTTTACAATCTTTTACGCACAGAAGCGACAGGGTTGCGCCGGACGCTTCAAAATCGCAGAGTTAGGACATTGCAAGGGGGAGGACAAGGGGAAGGAAATTCGGGCATTTGAAAGCCAACCCGAAGTTATTCCCTTTTGTTTGTAAACATTTTTGTTTGGTCCGGTAGCATTTGACCTGCCAGCTCCAGATTTTCAGCAGAGGGGCCGTCTCCTCCACTCGACAAACTCGAGGGTCTCAGCTGAGATTCTTTAGCTGTTTTTTCTGTGGGCACATGCCGCAGACCACTTGACAGTTGAAGTGGCGACACAAAAAAGGACAGATGTCCCTGGATTCCCGTGGTTCTATTATGTTTTGCGTTGTTGAGTCGTGCTGTGCCCGTGGCAAAATTTGATAATTTGCTACAGTTGAAGTTGCATCACCGCAGGCCATATGCAGCCCATGTCAACCTTGTTCTAAGGTCCACAGCCAATAGTTTCAGAGACTTTTGGCTCTCTCTGGGCGGCGGGCCCTTGAGTATCGACACCCTAGGCAGTTGACATCGGCTGAGTGGGATGTGATATGGCGTACTTGTTCATTTTATGCAGGATGGACCAATGCCAGAGTCGGATAAGATATGATCAGATAGAATAGGGTAATAGGGTTGAAACCAGGCAACATGTCCTGAGTTTGACACAACAATCTACTGCCAGATCTTGGAACAGTTCTCCAGGCTTTGTTCTGTTTGATTCGTTTCGTTCCTCACCAATCCACTGATGGTCAACTTCCACTGAGAAGACAAAGTCTATGGACTTTTTTGTTGCTACATCCCACTGGTGAAATTTTGTCCAGGCCCCTGAAAAGTAAACCCACTTTCATACCCAACCTCCTGCAGCTTTGCCAAGATCTTGCAGGCAGTGATCCGTCCAGGCACTGGGGTGGTATGGAGTTGTCAAACAAACAGTTGATACAGCTGCAAGTCACATGTTTCATTGCAGTTGCCTCCTAACTGCACCCACCCATTACTCTGCACTACTAGTATTTGCAACCTCTCAGCACATGCTGCAAACCTATCTCCACTTCGGATGTTGCTGTCATGCGCTGTTGTGACTTTGAAACACACTCAAAGTTGTGTATGCCTATATATATTATATATGTTGTTTTGTTCTTTTATCGTTTTTATATGTGTTTATATGTGTTTATCTTATTTGATATTTGTGGGCCTCCAGCCAGTGATAGTCAGCCGAGGCAGGCACGACGAGGATGGGCCATTGCGCTGAATGGATGGGCTTCATCAGAGTTTCCATTACCAGTTGTCCACCCTTCTGGAAGCGTATTCTGAATCCACGACTTGGGGATTGTCTATGGTTGTGGAATATGTTGGATCCATGCGAGCCATGATCAGTTGGATTCTATAGCAAGATTGGGGATGGTCATCAATCCATTACTAGGGATTTGTATACCCAATATGTTTGGATTCGCATAAAATGGGATGGATGACAATACCACATTAGTCATTAACTTCATTTTATCATATATTATAATTCCACCCATTATTTTCCCATTATTGTTTTTATTCCACTATCCGATTTTCCCATTAGTGTTAGGAAATATTTCCCATTACTGTAATTATAAATTATATTTAATTATATCACTTCATATTCCCATTTTTATTTTGTTAAATCGCCGGTATACCACCATTTTTTGACCGTGAAGCTGGTGGTAGGAACAGACCCTGGCAGACCTCGTGGTCGTCCTGAGGCTCAGGTTGCGTTTTTTGGCTGCATGGCGGCTGTTGTGGCCCATATTATGTAGTTGGTGGTTGTCAATCGTTGTCATATGCAAAGCACAGTGTCGCAATTTCTGCTACCCAGGGGCATTGCGCAACGGAGCCGCTCGGTCTTTGAGCCTCGGGCCAGTGCAGTCCCCAGGGAGGACATATCTGTGGCAGTCATTTCAATAATTAGCAGGGATGGACTGACCAAGATATATTGTATGTTTGAGATGTTGAAACATGAGATGTTGAAACATAATACAAAACTGAACAAGAGACCAATCAAGAACACTATAAAAATGTGATATCAATGTTTGAATATGCTTGGCTTGTACTGAGTTGGTTCATATTTGAAGCATATTTAGAATCATTCCAAATCAAATACTATGTCTTCCCATTATCATTGATTTGGGGACCGATGGGACCGCTTCCCAGTAAGATGTAGTAAGGATCTCGAGGATCTCCTACAGCATCCCAGGTGATCGCTATCACCAGTTGGATGATGGCCCTCGGCGTCAGGAGTGCGGCTGTGCGCATCTCTCACGAGTGCGTTGAAGGGAAAAAATCGAAACTGGAAGCCAGTGGAAGCATGTGGAAACCCTAAATTTAAGGCTAAAAACATCGAAAAACCATGATTTCCTGTACATGTTCCCTTCCATCAATCTATTGAAGAGATATGAAGAGATAAATTGATAGAACTGAACCGACAGACCCAGCGACCTTTGGCTCGTCGCAGCCCGCTGGATTTGCACCGATGGGAGAAGCAGATCCAAGAAAGGCCACGAAGAATGCGGAGACTTGGCCACAAAAAGCGCATGGCATATAGGTCTCCAAACATCACCCCAATTCTCAGTACAACTTTGTTGTTTTCTAGTGCAATCTTTCAGTTTGCAAGGTCTGAGCGGAGAGATGTAGAGAGCATGTGAGCAATTCCTTGGAGATGCGGGCATGTTTGCATCATGCATTATTGTAAACAATTTTGATTCCAGACATTTGCTTGCAGTGATTCATTTTCACTCCTCAACTCAACCATTCTGTCAGCATGAGTGACCTTGAAATCAGCCTTTTGTATCCTTTTTGTAGCGATGTCGTGATTTCCCCCTATGCTATCCCTCTCATCATATTCTCATCTCAGATATCTCAGGACAGTAAGTATTTGGCGGCCTTGTCGGATGTGCGCTTGGAGGGCTCCAACGAAGCCGTGTACTTCGTCCTGAGGGGCTTGGGCATGAAAGCATCCCCAGGCAGAGCATGTGGTGCCGCCAGGGGATCCACAATGATTCCATATGGGGCCTTGGAGTTTGGGGATGTTTTTTGAGTTTGGACATGTGTGGACATTTGGCAGGTCAAGGATTTCATTATCAAATTAGGTACAATTGCCAATATTTGCCAATGATTTGTCATCATTCTACTTCAGTATGAGGTGAATGCTGGAGGTAATTTTGCTAAGGCTTTGACAGCACGCAGCAGATGCTCTTATGCACTGGAAAGGTCTGGAAACTATTTTACAGCTCACCATGGTGTAAAATCACGGATGTTTTCTTATGGGTTTCTCAACATCCCTCAATTAAGTAGACATATAGGATAGGATAATAAGCTTCCCATTGCTTGATTTGTTTTCCCCTCTCAGAGCCTTCCCGCAGGTCCAAATAGCCTGCCGCGGATTGAAATCATGGCCGCGCAGCATCCGAGGCATGGCCGTCCCTGTTTTCTATCAAAATCCTAAATATCTTAGCCATACTCCAAGGCTGACCAGATTCCAGACCACAGTGGCTGAACACACATATTCAACAGCATTGTATTGCGATGGGATTGGCGCACTCTTGTGGTGTGTTGATGGTTTCTCCATGGATGCAGGTGGTCCGAGTCCAATTTCCATCGCTTTTCTGGCACCTTTTCCTCAGCACCAGGCTCTATGCGGCATTGCGTCGCTTGGGGCTGCGTCACCTCCGAGCAACCTGGAAACCAACCGTTTGGATCCATTTGGGGCCCGCGCAATCATCCCTAGAGGTAAAAGCCAATATACAAAAGCCAAAATGGGGATGGTTTATTCTTGGGTTTAACACATGATGTGGTAAGGTAGTTGGGCGATGTTGTGCGATGTTGTGCGTGTGTGTGTGTGTTGTTTGGCATATTTACGGAGATGATTAAATACGTAGACAGATGTAAACAGATAAATGCATATTTGCAAGTAGTCAGGCTGAGGCGGAGCTTGTTCGGATTCAATGAGGGACAGAGAACCGCAAATAATCATGCTCCCTATACTAACCCCCCAAATGCTAAACACGGTGATCTATTTTTATTATTAAGGGTTATTTAGTATTAGCGCGCCCTAATAATAAAGCAACGACTTTAATTAACTAGACGACGGATGGCCCGAGAGCGTAGAGGAGCAGGGTCTCCTGTTGTTAGTATTGAGACACTATATTACAAGACAATATATTAAAGATCTATTATAGGCAGACGAGAAGAGTAGTATCAAGACAATATTTTACAAGTACAAGACAATAGTTTGCATCGTATCCTTCGTATAGTTTTTCACACTCAGAACCCTTTACACACAGACGCTTTTGCACACGGAAGCTTTTACACATAGAAGCTTTTACACACAGAGACTTTTACACACACAGACGCTTTTACACACAGACACTTTTACACACAGACGCTTTTACACACAGACGCTTTTGCACACAGACGCTTTTACACACAGACGCTTTTACACACCAGACTTTTACACACAGCCTAGAAGCTTTTACACACAGAAGCTTGTACACACAGACGCTTTTATACACAGACGCTTTTACACACAGACGCTTTTACACACATACGCTTTTACAATCTTTACACACAGACGCTTTTACACATAGACACTCTTACACACAGACGCTTTCACACACAAACACTTTCACACACAGAGACTTTTAAACACAGAAGCTTTTACACACAGACACTTTTACACACAGACGCTGTTACACACAAACACTTTCACACACAGACGCTTTTACACACAGACGCTTTTACACACAGACGCTTTTACACACAGACGCTTTTACACACAAACACTTTCACACACAGAGACTTTTACACACAGAAGCTTTTACACACAGACACTTTTACACACAGACGCTCTTACACACAAACACTTTCACACACAGACGCTTTTACACACAGACGCTTTTACACACAGAAGCTTTTACACACAGAAGCTTTTACACACAGAAGCTTTTAGACACAGTCGCTTTTACACACAGACGGTTTTACACACATACGCTTTTACAATATTTTACACGCAGACGCGTTTACACACAGACACTTTCACACACAGACGCTTTTACACACAAACACTTTCACACACAGAGACTTTTACACACAGACGCTTTTACACACAGACACTTTTACACACATACGCTTTTATACACAGATGATCACAGATGCTTTTACACACAGACGCTTTTACACACAAACACTTTCACACACACAGAGGCTTTTACACACAGACGCTTTTACACACAGAAGCTTGTACACACAGAAGCTTTTACACACAGACACTTTTACACAGACGCTTTTCCACACAAACACTTTCACACACAGAGACTTTTACACACAGAAGCTTTTACACACAGAAGTTTTTACAGACGCTTTTACACACAGAGGCACTTACACACAGAAGCTTTTACACAGAGACTCCTTTACACACAGACGCTTTTACACACATACATACACATACGCTTTTACAATCTTTTACGCACAGAAGCGAAAGGGTTGCGCCGGACGCTTCAAAATCGCAATCTTACCTCAGTTTTTCGCGATCGAACCTCATTTCGTGCGAAAGGGTTCGCCGGACCTTTTGCAAATCGCAATCTTACCTCAGTTTTTGGCGATCGAACCTCATTTCGTGCGAAAGGGTTTTGGGACCGGACCTTTTGCAAATCGCAATCTTACCTCAGTTTTTGGCGATCGAACCTCATTTCGCAATCTTACCCCAGTTTTCGGCGATCGAACCTCATTTCGTGCGAAAGGGTTTTGCGACCGGACCTTTTGCAAATCGCAATCTTACCTCAGTTTTTGGCGATCGAACCTCATTTCGTGCGAAAGGGTTTGCCGGACCTTTTGCCTCTTACCTCTGTTTTCGGCGATCGAACTCATTTCGTGCGAAAGGGTTGCGCTCGAACAAGTGCAAATCAAAATCGCAATTTTACCTCAGTTTTTGGCGATCGAACCTCGTTACGTGCGAAAGGGTTGCGTTTCGTGCTGTCTCGTTGGCACTGCCCCGCGCCTTCAAGATCTTCAAGAGAGAAAAAGAAAAGAAGGAGAGAGCAAGAGGGCAAGAGAGCAAGAGGGCAAGAGAGCAAGAGGGCAAGAGAGAATGTGAAGATGTGAGGATGTGAAGACGTGAGGATGTGAGGATGAGAAGATGTGAGGATGTTAGGATGAGAAGATGTGAAGATGTGAAAATGTTTGACAGACCCCCACTATTAGAATCCTTCGCTCAGATGCTCTCGGGAATAAAAATGAAAGTTATTTGGATTTCAAAATTAAGAGAAGCCCTTTTTTAAAATCCTTTTAAGATATTGCCAAAAATTGGATTTCGAAGCTTTCCCCTAATAATAAAACAAAAACCGTATTAAAATAAATATCGATTTCAAAATCAATTTCATTATATATTGCCAAAGATTGGATTTCGAAGCTTTCCCTAATAAAAAACAAAAACCTTAATTAAAATAAACGATTTCACAATCAATTAAATCCCTTTTTAAAATCCCTCTAAAATATTGCCAAAGATTGGATTTCGAAGCTTCCCCCTAATAATCAAATTAAAACCTTATAAAAATAATATAAAAAACATAATTTCAAAGTTGATGGGACCCGAATAATAAACTTACGGCTCTCGTCTCGTTCTATTTTGATGAATAAGGGGTACAAACTATTATTTCACCACCCTGTCCTCCTATTGATTTTCAATTACCACAATTAAGAACGCCATTGTGAGCGACCAAAACATCCGAAAGTGGCAATCGACTCCTATTTTTGTTAATTGGGGGAGTTTTAGTCATAGGGAGAAGAGATTAGTGAGGATGATGAATCATAATCACACGCACTGCAAAAATGGCAAAAATGGCAACGGCAAAAACAATCACCAGTCTGGCTATCTGGGGTGGTCAAGTTGTTCATTGTTGTTTTTTGCTTGTGGCAAGAGATGGCAAGAGATTGCCCCAGACCAATACTATCAACATTGAAAACTATGTATATAAAACTGCGCATGATTGTATCATGCCACCGCAGATCCGAAGATATTGGATGACATTTGTGAAGGATCCAGGACTCTTCTGGTCGAATTGACTTGCAGCATGCACAAAACTCAGCCAGAAGCATCATCAATTGCCGTTCCATTGAGGACACCATTGTTTTGGAACCCTCTGCAGGGACGTTGGAGCGGTTACCGGCGACCAGCAGCACTAGCGATCTGAAAGTTCCAAGGTCAGGGCCGTGGGCCAGATAGTGGGTGGGCTATGTCCATGGTGGACGCACAAGGTAGATTGTTTCCGGACTGCGGACTGCAGGCAGTGATTGGAGGATCTACAATATATTTTCGCAAATCGAAGAGCTAGACAGTATCCCTCTTCTCTCTCTCTCTCTCTCTCTCTCTCTCACTCACTGGAACCACTTGGAACAATTTGGAACCCAAACACAAGAGTTGTAAGGACAATTTCCGCTTGAAATCATATCCACTAATTCACCTTCCATGCCCTTTCTTTCCAGGCCCCATGACCCTCAGAGCCGCAGCTCCAAGACCCTGCGCAGCAGCAATCGCATGGATCGCAAGCGCATGGCACACGAGGTGATCCGGGCAACTCGGCTGAGGATGAGGATTTTGAATGATTTGACCAGTTAAACTTTGGGATTAAACGGATTAATCATTATTAAACCCACAAAGAATTGGGATGAACTGCTGATTTCAAGGCCAGGGTTTTTAGAAAATGTTAACCCAGAAATAACAACATAAAATAGCAATAGGTACATGTTTATCTTTATTTCTTAAATAAAGTATGAAGAATCATTTGTCCACTGTTTTGTGTCCATTGGTCATTGGTGCTGTATTTTTGGCCCGCATCCAATTAAGATCAATTACGGGGTTCAGGTGGTCAGGTGGTCAGGTGGAGGATGGTCACAATATTTGGCGACTGCTCTTATCCCTACTTCTGCACATATTGTCGAAGCATCCCAAGATGCCGCTTTCCCAAAAACCAGATGAACCAGAAAACAAAACAGTGGTAAGACAATTCTGGTTCTTATAGTTCTTTGGATTCATTTCTCCTGTCAGTGGAAAGCGAAGCTTCGTTTGTCTGAGACTAGGGCACCCGCAAGCCCCAAAATCCAGATGCACCCAACTAGTTTTGGTGGGTTTTATCATGTGATGGTCAAATTCTCATTTTTGATTCTTTGGTTCGTCCATTCCTAGGCACCTCTCATGGAATTTATTCCGATCATCTCCAAGGCACACCGAGCAGCTGCTCCACCGTCGGCCACATCCATGTTGCCTGCAGCCAAGGTTGGCAATCCACTGATGGGTTTGCCTAAAAAATGGGGTGTGATTGCAATGCCCCAACTCATGGCCATGTAAAATCGGAAAATTATAATAAACCATGATAAATAGTAGGGTGAAATGGGGTACACCATCTTTGAGCTGGCGCTGGAGAGAGGGAGAGGGAGAGAGAGAGAGAGAGAGAGATTTTCAGACAAACCATAATACCTGTGCAATCCTTTGTATAGAATGTGTGATGTTGTAATAGGCACTCTGCTGCAGAGCAGTTCATAAACCCATCAGATGTGTTTGACCCATAGAACTTGCGGAATCTTTGTCCATAGACATTTTTAGACTATATTACTGTATGTATCCGCATTTCGATTGCATAATAATAATGATATGAACAAGTTTCATGTTACATAGCACATATGTATCAGATAACAAACCAGCCTCATATGTATATGCATGCATGTATAATATATATATATATAATTATATATATATACATATGCATATATTTATATATAAATACGTATGTGTATACATATATATATATATATAAATGCATGTATATATATAAATTTGATTTGTATATATGTATAAACTTTGCTATATCCCGTGATTCTCAGCTGGTTATCCCACCCTTTTGTGCCCAAACAAGTCTCCCCAGGCGGAGGAGATGTTAGCCCAGCTCCGTGCGGAACGGTGCTCCATGCGGTCGCAGGGCCCCCCCTCAGAGGAGGCGGAGGCGTCGAGATACAGCAGACACTTGGATTGGGAGGTGAGATTTAGATTTTTGACATCAATATAACAATAAATAACAATAATAATAGTAATGACAATAGTAAAACGTTTTTGATTTAAGATGATATCATTTAAATATAACATATATATTTATATAGCAGTATGGCTTATTGATGTTAAGATTGAAAGAAAGTAATACTGTAGTAACCATAACAATATGTTTGTTCTTCTGAAATTATTGTTGTCGTTGTCGTTGTTGTTGTTGTTGTTGGTGGTGGTGGTGGTGTTGTCGTTGTCGTTGTTGTTGTTGTTGGTGGTGGTGGTGGTGGTGTTGGCGTTTGTGGTGTTGTTGGTGTTGTTAGTGTTGTTAGTGTTGTTAGTGTTGTTAGTGGTGTTAGTGTTGTTAGTGCTGTTAGTGTTGTTAGTGTTGTTGGTGTTGTTGGTGTTGTTGGTGTTGTTGTTGGTGTTGTTGTTGTTCTGGTTGTTATTGTTGTTGTCGTTGTCGTTGTCGTCGTTGTCGTTGTTGTTGTTGTTGTTGTTGTCGTCGTCGTCGTCGTTGTCGTCATTGTTGCTGGTGGTGGAGGAGGATTTGTTCAGCATGTTTTTATATGTCGTGCCAGACCAGACTTTCGCCCGTGCCCAAGTTTTACACAAAAGAAATGTTCTGTATTTGTCACCAATGATGAACAAAAGCGCTGGCTATACAGTGGTTGTTTGACCGATTTTGTTCCCCACTTGCCAGGTGAAATAGGTGAAGGTCTATAGATTCATATAGATTCTATATGATTTTATCAGAGTTGCTTCCGCCTCCTCCTCCTTCTCCTCCGGCAGCTTCGGGCTCAGCCCTCAACTGCGAACTCCAGAGCCCATTGGGCACTGCCGGACCTCAGCCACACGCCAGAGAGAATGTCAGATAGAACGCCAGAAAAGATGCCAGATAGAATTTCAGAATATATGCCAGAAAGAATGTCAGAATAGATGCCAGATAGAATGCCAGATAGAATCTCAAAGTATTTGCCAGAAAGAATGCCAGATAGAACGTCAGAATAAAAATGCAATATAGATAAATGATAATTAATCAATTGATTAATATATACATATACTTCATTATACTTCCAGATGGTATGTCTGAGCTGTTTTTGGAAAATGAACAACACTGGCCCTACGCAGGGACTTCAGGATGTCAAAGCGATTTGCGTGATCCGTCATGGGTAAACATGTGGTTTGCAATGTTTTTTGCCGGGTGACATGTGGTTGTTCCTAGCCTGTTCGGGGCGGGGTTGCCTTGATAAATGGTTTGGTGAAGTATTGCAGCTACGTCTGACAATGGGATATGTGCTTGCCATATCTCTCCGTTTTGATTTCGTGTTTTGCCTGGGAGGGAGGCATGAACAGATTAAAAATAAATATGTGAGTGTCACACTTTTGATGAATCTTATATAAGAGATGAATGCATTCAACCGGACACCCTCATCATTAGAAGGCGCACGCGAGGGAAAATGATGCCCAAATGCAGATGGAGAGTAGTGACATCAATGAATTAAATTATAATGAATTACTTGATTTGTTTCTTTAATCCAATAGTTTGTGCCCTTGTTCATCCTGTTTACAGGTTCCTTGCACCAGAGCCCACGTCCCACCTTCCCACATGTTCCCCCTTAAGTGCATCCTCCAAGTTCCTTGCATTGGTGCGCGACCAACACGCACTCCCGAAGAGCAAGAGGAGCTGCTCAGATGAAGATTTGAACTTGCAATTTGAAGTTTAAAGATGTTTGAAGAATGTTTGAAGATACGTTGTTCTCCAGCCTGGCTAATCTTTGAGGTATGAGTGGCACCAGTTACACATATTTGTCCCGTATTTGTTTCTATGCAAATAACGGTATGACGGTATGACTCACATTATGACCATGCAAGGAAAAAGGTAATTTTTTGATTTGATACCTTAAGCCCACAAGTCCCATTGCCATTGTCGAAGCATGTCTAAGCAAGCAGGAAAATCAATGAAAATCAGCAGTTTCGAACATCACCCCCGTACTCGAATCTTTTGTTACGCCTGGTTCTGATTGTTGACTGCCTTTGTACTGGATTTGGAACCATCCAATAGGTACCGGGATTCAGTCTTTGGTCTCCCAACGTTGCAAACTGATATGGTTGGAATAAGAAGGTTAAACGATTAACGTCAAAACGGGGATGATAACTGTCGTCCAGTTTGTTTTGACGTCGCAATATTGTTTTCTAAGCATTTCCACCCTCACATGCGGAAGAGAGTATTACAGCAAAGTGCAGTATTCTTGCCCAAGTGTATCATAGAGTCAAAGAACTGCTTGCATGAAACAGGTTTCAGAGGCACATCATCCCACCATGGTTGCAGCTGGAAAATAATTACTGTCAAATCCTTTAATCCCAAATTGATGGTTTAGAATGGTTTAGTTAGTTATAACATGTTATAACTATATAATTTAATATCAAAAATGACCCAAATTGGATGGTTGAGTATGGCTTGAGTATGGTTTTGCCTGCAAAAATGGACCAGAAATTCATGGATTTCCCCATTGGCGGTGCCCCACTGAGAAAAGCCTCAGGTTCTTTGCGAAGTTGGCTGGCCGCCACGGCAGCCTCGCGCCGGAATTGACGGAAGAAGCGCTGCCAGGGCCTTCCTTGAGCCACTTGGCAACGGTCCAAGGCAAAATGGGGATGCAAGCAGTGCAAATTGAGATTTAACATGATTTAACCAAGGTGAATGGGAATCTTAATTGAAAAAAAATGGATTTTCATTAAGCAATCCCACCATAATTATCCATAATTCGTATTTCAACAGGCAGGTGGTTTTGAAATGATGTTTCCGACATATTTCCGACCCCCTAGTGTTTTTTAAATCCATTTCCCACTTGGGATCCTGCAGGCATGTTTGTTTTGTGATGTTCAATGTTCAAGTTTGGGAGAGTGCATGAAACTCTGCAGGAAATGGAGTTGGGCCCTAACTGAGACTCATGTTTTTTCATGAAACTTTTGGCCATGTTTGGTCCCTCAAAACTAGGTCAAGATTCCTCAATACTATACATTGGAGTCTGTCTTGATGGTGGCAATGATGTTACAGATAGGGGATTTTGATACGTGTTTGTAAGTTTGTAACAGTTATATACAAGGCATGATATACTGGCAGGGGATAACATGTATAAAGACATGCTTACCATCCACCAAGCTGCGTTGTCAACACGGCAAGTTCACCCTGACGCAGAAGGTCCGGCTTACCCGCCACTTTCACCCCAAGCGGGGAGGATGCCCTGGCAGTGACTGTATTTACTCCCCGCAACTAACATATATCCCGCCAAATATGGGTTGGAAGGGTACTTTCATCTATACATACAAAACTTGGCTATCCCAGGGTGGAGGCTCTTATATAGTTGGATTATACTTGGGGGATGGTCGTCCCCTTACATTTGAGCCGCTGCAAAAACTCCGGCCATGGGAAAGTGGACGGACATCGGTTTTCAGAAATTGTACAAATATGCGAAAAGCGATCAGAATTTGCCAAATATTGGTAATGACTCATGACCCTTTTGAAGGTTATGTCCTGTGCACATACAGTGCATCAGTTTCCTTTTCGTGGTCTCCAGCCGCTCAGGATTAAGACCTGTTCGAAGCGCAGAGGAGCAGAAGCAGTGCCTCTCCATCCCAGCAGAAAAGTGGAAGACTCCGAGTGTGAAAACATTTGAACCACCTATTGAGCGCAAGTGAGATTCACAGTACAAGCACAAATTCTCCAGGTTTTTGCAGAAAACCCAGCTGTCATGGCCTTTTTGCCATTACTATGCTCTGCACATCTCTGCACTTTTTATTGTGAAATAAGTTTCAACTGGGTTTTGAGATGGAAGAACCATTCAAAAATTGGGGCTGCTGAAATTCCCCCAGTCCGCGGCCCAAGGTATTTTGCAAAGCTGTCCGTTCCTCGCGTGGTGAGACCCAAGGTCTTACCCTTCGAGTTGGGTCATCGGGTCCAGTCGTCTTTCGGCGCCTCGCTGCAATAGGATACCCCAACGTGTCGTTCCCCTTTGTGATCTTCATGGGAAGAAGAAACATGTGCCGCAAGATGAAGTATCCATATGTATGTGCATAACTGGCATAACTTATAAATATTGTATTTATATGTATTTATGATATGTATTTATGATATATATATATACACATATTCTAAGATATCTCAAAGGGTGACACCAGGATGCAGACTCAGTGGGTGCCTCGATGCCTCACGTCCGGTTCCTCGCCCTGGGTCCGTGGCTTCAGGTAGAGCAGCAGAACGGCACCTGCTGGGAAGACTGGAAAGGCTTCATGAGACGAAGCAGAAGGTCGCGGCCAACGGGATGAGACCGGCTGGATCCTTTTGAGTAAAATATCATACCGCTGGTACCGCCAATGCTGGTATATATGCTAGACATATTATATGATATTATAATATCTATTTAAATAATTAATAAACAATAATAGGTAAATATATACACACCCAAAGAAGGACAAGAGATAAAAGAGATTAAAAGAGATTAAAAGCGCAAGTATCATCAGTATCCATTGAAAATCCATGGGCCAGGCCATCATGGAGCAGGAGGCACTGGAGGCCCAAGCACGTGTCCGCGAGGCGGCTGGGCCCAAAATATAGCGTGGCTAAAACATGCTGTTTTATGAACGGATCTCGATGGGTTTTAGTGGATTTTAGTGGATTTGAATGTTTTTTTTTGTGGATTTTAATGGGTTCGAATGATTTTTAATAGATAGTAATGGACGTTCATGTTATTTTACTGGGTAAATTGCGGGTACACTGAGTGTAAGAAGGTGTGCAAGATCAATATAGACTAGATCAATCACAATCACTTGCATGTTTCTTTAACCGAGGGCAATTTGTGGATGTGATTTCTTTGATACAATTTGTTTAAACATACTTACGGAGAGCTATAAGATTAGCACGATATACATGCACACACATATAGTTTATTTACTCTGAGTATGGCTTTATAGTCCTATGTAAACGCCCCCTGAAGCCACCACAAAAAAACACATAAATGGTATCCCCAATCATGAGGTTGTGAATTTATGCGTTAGTTGTATTCGAGTGTTTCCACTGCTTTCGCTGTTCTATCATGTCATGCTCTATTTGACTCTGAGATTTGACTGGGTTGTTTGGGTGCTTGGTTTGCAATGCTTTAGTTTGCAACACTGTTTCACAGTTTGACCCTCATCACAGTTCATCTCCGTCTCCAAAAAGTGAGAACATATCAGACAGAGAGAGAGAGAGAGCGAGAAAACAACTAAGCTTCCTATGTCCAGAGTATTTTTTAAAATGAACCATTTTGCATTTCCCCCAGCTTGCACCTTCCATGGTGCATTAGGTGCGCCGTGCCCTGTATGGTGACGATGCTAGTGAGGATGAGATGACCGAAGGGATCTTCCCACCAGACCCGAGCCCAGAAGCTTCTGAGGCCGCCTTCAGTGATGGCTGAAATTCCACTGGTTCATGTCATGGAAATTTGGGGTTACCCGTCGGTAAATTAACATAGACCCTGCAAACAGCCCATTTTTAGTTGAAACTTATCTTCCAGCCACTATTTGCCAGGGTCTGGATGGCAATATTTAGATAATTTTAGATATATTTAGAACCAAGAAACAACCAAGGGTTTTCTATTTCGGGAAATGCAATTCTACATAATCCGTCTTTTCTTGGATAACCTGTCAAGAGACCCGGACTCAGCGGATGGGACTCAAATGGGATGTGCTGCGCGTGGAGTTGCAGTGTTGCCATATATTGCCATTTTGACTTCAGCAGCTGTCTAACTGAATGAAGCAACGGTCCCGAATGTCTCATGATGATCACAAATGATCATAATGTCCTTTGAAGAGGAATGTTGGGTTCAGATTCCACAAGGCACAGTTGGTGGCGTAGTCGAGCAGCGCCTGGACTGGCAAAGTTAAAGTCTGCATGAAAGAAGGGCGGACAAAATCGGACAACCTACAAACTCTTGGATTCAATACTTTCAGGTTGCAATTGTGCAGGGTTTCGTTCTGATGGTTCGGCACCTTGAAAGCAGAACGTACATGACAAATTCTTGCAGATTCCGAGTTCATGGCTGATTGAGGATCGCAGCCAAATGGCTTCGATATGTTTCACCTCGGAAAACCGTTGGATGCCAACAGATTCGAGCACCACGGCTTGAGGCAAAAGGATTTTCTCAGCCGCAGTTCTGGCAGATACTCCGAATTCCAACAGGGAATCACTGGGGTATGGGTCTCACTGCATGACTTGTCATCCGATGTCATCACTTGTCCACAACAGTGTCACCACAGCCAGGAACGTTCCGAGGATGACCTTCATTGGGCTGAGGCAGATGGGGCTGGTCTCTGTACTGACATACCATGACCAGCCCACCGGCACCATCCAGAATGTTCAACCAACGATCAAAAAATAGGAATGCATGACTTCACTCATATGATCTCAGATTATCTCATAAATTAATATAAATTAACATTTTAACATATATAGAACATGTGCTAACTGTCACTAACTGAATGCCATGGAGTTGGAGGAAGCTCCGCAAACGGCCGTTGCCAGGATGACCGACTCTACTGGGATCCAGCGCCCACTGACCTGGAAGTCTTGGCACGGATGGCCAGCGCCTGAAGGGCCTGAAGCATCTGAAGCCTGCAGCAGTCCCAAAAATGGATGTGAATGGCTACATGGCCCATATGGCCATAGTTTTGTAGCAGTTCAATTGGTTATTAGTGGGTCGTATATTGTGATTCAATATCACCGTGATTTATGAATATTTAGTGTGGTAATTTATCCCAACGACTGGCCGTGGATGTGGCGCAACCTTGACCTGGACCTAATCACTGCTTGCTTCATATTCAATTTGTTCACGTTCCGTTCCTATTTGGGGAAGATGTTCCCATCAAGATTGGACATTCCGCTTAGAATGACGAGATATTGTGGAGCTGCAGCCTTTGGTATCATTGTTTGGACAAGCCGAATCTCCCCTTTAACTTTAACACTGTCCCATGGTTCTGATAGAGGAGGCGTTGGAAACGTCGGACAGATTCAAACAGCAGTAAGTTTCCAGAATTCAACTGATGTTTACGTATAGCATACATATAGCATTGATAGTACTGATGCCTGTCATGATGAGAATGATAGAATCGATAGAATATCGATGAACACATAATAAACTGAGAATGATCATGCAAACACTTAGCCCTTAACTTGGGACAATGAAGATTGACATACCTTTCCTCCCTGCGAGTCCAACAGCCGTCAGTTTAGCGTTGTGGGAACTCTTTGTGCATTTTGTGCCATTTGCTCCAGGGGGACGTGCCAAATTTGGGCTTTGGACCATTCACTATGTACTGAGGCATGAATTTGAGAGACTCTGGGGGGATGGAGTGGGGGCTGCTTGCAGGGGGTGACAATTACTGTAGATCTATGGACATATATTATGACATTATGATAATAAATGCTTGCGGAAGGTCTATTTGATTCCTGGGATGAATCTGTTGAAATCTTATCTCTGCCATGCAGTCCCCATATTCTGGGATTATTCCGGCCATAGATGAAGACCATCAGAGAAGATGCAACATGTTGGGCAACATGTTGGCTCCGCCGGGGGGGTTTGCCCGGCTTGGAACAAGGTCGACTGGGACGACATGTCATGAGTGTCCGCAGCCGTTTGTTGTTCTTGTAGTCATGGTGTTGTTTTGACTGCGTTTTTTCATATAAAATGTGGTTGTTCACAAGAAGACTTCATATCATGTTTTCAGATGCAATTGATCATTGAATGTTTTGACAATGTCCAAACTTGAGATTTTTTTCGCCAAATCTGGCGGAAAAATCAACAATCACCTGTAATTTACAGCGTTTCCATTTGACACGATTTGCCATGAATGCTGTTTGGTGGAGTTTGACTTTGTGCATCGTGTTGCGGATCGGTGGAATATCTTTGCGGATGGGATTGCGGAAACGATGGACAATCAAACATGACACTGCGATTGCGTGATACGTTTGCACATGACACACCAGCAGCGTACCATGTTTACATATAAAAACGAACGTTAACACACCCCACCCCACCCCACCCCAAGCGTAACACCTTTGCACATGACACACCAGCAGCGTACCATGTGTACACATGAACACACCAGCAGCGTACCATGTGTACACATGAACACCAACGTTGACACACCCCACCCCACCCCACCCCACATGTTTTAAATTCCGGGCCAACCCCCCCGGTAGACCCAACATGTTGTAACACCTTGCTCCGCACCCAACGGTCTGGAGGCCAGCGTCATGGCAGTTGAACGCCACGGCGGAAGGATGTTTCACGTAGTAGTTTCTGAGCTTTCTTGAAGCAGGTAAGGTTGCCAGCTGCAAGCGTGAAGACACCCGGATTCATCATGCAAATTTTGGTTTGGGTCGGTTCGGGTGCCTTTTTTGGGGGCAGGCTGCATTTTTGTGGAGTGGCATGGCTATCACTTCCGTTTCTTTTCCTATACAGACATATCAAGGGTTAGTGATTAGTGTGTAAAGGATTTGAGCCCAGTGTAGCCCAGTATCACATGGGAACCTTCAAAGTTGTTCAATGCCTACTTCAAATGTGGGCGAATTTGGACCAAGTAAACATCAGTAAACTAGCTGTGCTCAACTTCCCTGAATCTGACAGCAGACTAAAGGCGAAAGGTGGGCAGTTACAACTGGGACGTCCCCACACGGGCAGCAAGTCCAATCTCGGATATTCTGGAGCAAGAAGATTGAAATTTGGGCCATGGATATATATATATATATATGGTCTCGTGTTCCGTGTTCCTACCCCCCAATGGTATGGGTCCCCAGGTAGCACCCCCTTCCCTTCTATTTGCAAGCTATTGGCAGCATTTCTGAGGTCCTTTTAGACGACCTACGTAGCACACATACTCCCTCAAAGCACCTACGTGCTACCTATAGTCATATATATATATACATGTGCTATGTATCTACTTCCTTTATATAAATATACAGTTCATATACATATATATATATACACATTGCTATACATACATACATATACACATATACACATATATACATATATACATATATACATATATGCATATATACATATATACATATATACATATATGCATATATATATATACATATATATATATATGCATATATACATATATACATATATACATATATACATATATACATATATACATATATACATATATACATATATACATATATACATATATACATATATACATATATACATATATGTACATATATGTACATATATATATATATACATATATATATATACATATACATATATATACATATATATATATACATAATATCATCTATATATACATATATATATATACATATATACATATATACACATATACATATATATATATACATACATATATACATATATACATACATAGACACACACACACACATATATATATATATATACACGCAGTACCACACCCCCCACCACACCACACCACAGGGGGGGAGGGGGGCAGTACTATGACCGACCCATGACCATGGCCGGGGGTGGAGGGGGGTTGGCACGCTGGACTATATATATATATATATTTGCTATTGCCTCAAGAATGTATTCAACAGTGGGGGGTACCCCTGATCAATCTATACGTTTTACCTGCCATGTTCCAATCAGATGGATTTCGACTGGTGTGGTCAACATTATATTTACAGTATGTTGCAAAGTTGTTTTGTTGCAGCTGCAAGAGCCCGATATGCTTAAGTCCCCGGGACTTAAGCGCTGCTGGGGCCCGACGAACGCTGCTGCTGGTCTGCAGGGCCATGATTGTGCTGGCAACAGCGCTGCTAGGCCTCCGGGGGGCTATAGGAGTGTAGATTTGTACCTCGGAAGCCTAGCAGCGCTTAAGTCCCTGGGACTTAAGCACGTCGGGCCCCAGCAGCGCTTAAGTCCCGGGGACTTCAGCACGCCGGGCTAATTATTTCAGGCAAGGCCTTGCTTTCTCATCATCAGGGAGCCTGATGGGTCAAATAGTGGTAGGTTATGGAAGGAATGAACGTTGTCGTTTGGATACTTTAATGGTTAATTTGAATTTAGGCATTTTCATTGTTGAATTGATGGAAAAACAATTGGAAATGTACAGAAGGGTGGGGGGGGTTCCTTTGGACCATAAGGGGCATGGTATTATATTATATGTGTGTATGTGTGATGGAAATTTATTGAATGTTTTTGTGAAGAGACACCATGGCTTGGTAGCCCATGATAGTCCAAAACTATATCATCAATATCATCATTCAGCGTAGGGCTCGTGGCCATATCAGCTGGTGATCAGTCCCTGTTGTAGTGGAGCCGCTCAGATGATGAAGGGTGGATCAGTCGATGGCTACCAGATGCTGTAGCGTGCTGGTGGTGTTGAACTTAAAGGTTTGATGGGAGTATGGGTCTAACCCCCAGAA